AAACTCTAAAAATTTTTATTAATAATTGAATATATCACATCTACATTTGATTGTTCATCACTTGAAGGGTGAAGTGTGAAGGGCTTCCTTTTCGTTATGGACGCGCCTTCATGGCTCCACTGGGGCCATGGAAACGAACCCAGCGATGTTACTGGGCTGCATTCACCAAGGAAAGTATACTCCGTATTATTCGTGAATTTCACTAGTTCGGACTTCCATTGTCTACTATATAAAATGATTTGAAATCCCTAAACAAGTAAAAAGGAATAATTAAAAAAAGAATAGCTGAAGATAACAATTATATTAAGCAAACAATAAACCTGAAATGAAATGATAGTGAAGTAACCTACAAGTAAAAATATAATAATTGAATAAATAAAAATTAAAGGAATGAAAAAAGAAAATAATAAAAAAGTGTAGAGATTCCAAGTCACGTCAGTTCACGACGTTTCGATTGTTGGTATCTACAATCGTTGTGCTAAAGTGCAACAAAAATAGTTGCACTTTAGCACAACATTCCATCAACCATGACCACAAAATTGCACATGACAATGTCAAAATATTAGACCAATCCAACAACGTACACAAAAGAATGTTCCTAGAAATGGCAAACATTTTCAAAAATCCTCTCAGTATGAATTCTAGAAGAGACATAGAAGGACTTAGTATAATCTATACTTACCTACTTCACTTAGACAATCAAAACAAGAGCGCTTTCGATAGCTGGTCGTGCTATCATCTTCTTGGCTCTACTCAAACTGAACGTTTCATCCCCTTGTTTGTTCTTTTATGCGGTTAGAACGCCTTAAGACAGGTACCGCAGCTAATTTTGCCTGCATCTGGGTTACATTAGGTACTATCTTTTGTATTGGCTTTTCTCTAGGTTCACTCTTCCTAGAAATGTGTATTGTATTGTGTAGTATATTGAATGATAGGTCTTGTTGTGTTTTGATTTTTATTTGTTCATCGATAAGTGATTTATGACTTTAAAATTTATGGATGTTTTCCCAGATGTTCATACGGTTTCCTTTATTGACTTGTTTTATGAGTTTATATTCTCTGGTGGGGAAAAGTTATGTTTGTTTTGTATGGCGTGTGCTCGCCGTACCTTTGGATTAGTTTTTTCTTGGTTCGGCCTATATAGTATTTGTTGCAGTTCGAGCATTGTATGCTGTACACTCCGTTTAGGTGTTTGTTTTCTTCTTTTTCATAGCTGTTTATAGTTTGTGTTAATTCCGTGTTTGGCTTGTATGTGATGTTGATGCTCAGGGGTTTGAAGATGTTTGTTAGTTTTTTGGTTTGGTGACCTACGTCACAAAACAAAGGAAGATTCGTTCCCAAGCTTGAAAAGAGAAGTCACGTACAAATATTTGAAAATTAGGTCAGAAACAATTGAAGTCCAAGTATTCCATTAATAATAAATTATAATTAAACGAAATCCAACACTAACTACCTGCAAAAGCCAATACATCACGTAAGAAAATAGAGAAAGTATCTTGAAGGAGAGTTCGGATTTCCAAAGGCCGGTCCTAGAGATTTTCATCAAATTGGTACATCACTTCACACATAAAGGTGAGAAATCAGGTATTTATACCAAACTCCGTCATGGACTTGCACCAAATCCATGCCGGTCATAAGTCCGGGAAAAGGAGTAATGGTCTGCAGTTGGGAATCCGGACAATATATCTCTACCGTCCGGCTCTTCCCAACAACATATTTCACTTTGTTTCAACTTGTCTTGGGTGAATCTGCCTTCGTGCTTTTCATCTATGATCTTTCGGTCGCTCTCGACCAACTCTTGCTCTTTTTCGACCCTGACGCTATTACAACATTCGAGGGCTAAGAGTCATTCCTTTCACGACTATTTCGCGCAGGGAGTAAACCCTTTCAAAAATCCGAAATCCAAGGTGTAAACGATACCGTGCTGAGATATGAATGGCTCCATTCGTTAAGCAGTCAAGAACAGTGGCTGTGAGGATCTGGCGCGCCCTCGTAGTATTTAGCCTTAGCGGGGCAAGGTAGCACTACCTCGCCGGATAGATAGTTCTGCCCAAATAGTGGGAACTGTATCGATACACTTAATAGAGCTAACAAAACGAAGGTGCAGAAAATGACAGAAGAACAACTGAAAAAGCTCGAGGAAAGGAGCTCCTCCAGAACAAAATAGGAGGGCACAACCGGAAATCAGATTGGAAGAGGATGATGAAATGCCAACAGGAGGTAGGCAGATACAGACTCAGACGTCAAATGCAGAAGAAATGAGGAAAAGCATAGATAAGCATTCAAGCCTTGGACTCAAGGAGGGATGGAAAAAAGGCTTGAGAGACACTTCTTCCTTCTCAGAGGAAGATAACACCCAAAGAGGAAGAGAGAGGGCACCCCTCTTGAGAAAAAACGGGGGTGGGGGAAAAGAGTATTAGCGGTGAGGAAGGGATTGAAGAGATCAGGAGGGCAATGGAAGATCTCATGGAAAAGATGGAAGCTCTGAAGAAAGTTGTAAAAGATACACCAAATACGCAAGAAGAAATTGAAGAATTAAAAAACAGGTTGAAGCGATGGAGTATAGTATGAATGTGGTGAACAGGAAAATGGGAACCTACAATTTTGCACAGAACCCAGAAACCCACAAAAGGCAGTCAAATCACATTAGTACTCAAACTGACTCGTCACAGGATGGGAAACAAGGGACACAGGAAAAAAGAACGATAAGCACACAAACATATGACAGCATGGAAGAAGAAGAAAACATACGATTATGGCAGGAATAGATAGCGAACCGAACTATATTAGTGGTCTTCATGGCTTGTTGAGTATAATCGACCTGAATTGGCCAGAGGGTAGATACCAGAATACTAGCCTCGAATATAGAGGAATCTACGAAGCAAGAACGGACGAAAACGTAGTAGTAATGTAAGACCCCACCATCCTGTTGGAAAGTGTAGATGAAATGAGAAAGGAACTGGAGAGGACATTTCCAGACTTATATGGAATAATAGGGGATGGATTATAAAAAGGCGACATTGAATACACACAAAGAACTACATAAATTAAACGTTCCAAGGGTCAGAGCGAACAAAGAAGTTCACTCTACTTTGTGGTGGCTAGTGATTAACGAAACAAGAAGAACCGTATCAACAGCAAGTAGTATATCGGCTAATAATGAGCCTCAAAATACTACAAATTGATGTTGGGAGATCTGAAAGCTCCCATGACCTCACCTTTGCGACCGCCGAACAACGGAACGTAGATTTGGTACTGTTGCAAGAACCAAATGGGGCATATGCGACGAGACAAAATTTCATCACTGACGGCAACTAGAAGTAGGAAAAGGATATGCGGTAGTTCATTTCCGCAGCTTCGCCCTCTATAATTGTTACGTCTCACCAAATAGCACATTACAAGACTTCGAGAGAATAATTGATACCATCATGAACAGTATAAGAACTGACTGTGCGGTAGAGAATGTAAGGGGAGAATATATAGCGTACTGGTTAAATGCCGTAGATATGGCCGTCGGAAACAGTGGAAACTCTCCCACCTTCGTTAGAGGAAACAGCGAATCCATTATAGACATAACTTTTGCAACATCCACTATATTCAAGAAATCAACAAACTGGGAATTATTGCAAAAGGAAGCACAATGATGGAGTGTAAGGACTGGAAATACCTGGGAGCTGCAAAACTATTGCATAGGCAGACGACCTTGCACTTGTAGTCAGAGCAATAAACGAACTAATGATCTGTACCAACTTAGGTCTTGAAAAAATTGAGAACAGGATCTCAGACAATGACCTAGAAAAGGCCCCAGAGAAAATAGTAGCCGTTGCTACTATTTTCTCTGGAAACAAGGAGGGTATATTGTTTGAGGTGAGCAGTCATAGCATTAAACCGACCAAACACATAAAGTATCTCGGAGTGTGGATCGACGATAAGCTAATTTTTAATTGTCACGTAAGAAATACCATCGAGAAAGCTCAGAAAAAAGTTACGGCGATGAATGCTATAATGAGCAATATTGGAGGACCGAGCTGTGGAAAAAGAAGGATGCTTAATGGGGTGGTACAGTCAATAATGGCCTGGGGGAGAGTTATGATCATACAGTTTCTGTCGGGCCATGGAACTTTCAGAAGTTATACGAATGAAATAGGAAAAACGGATTATAGATGTGTATATTGTGGCCAAGTGGATGATCCCGAACACGTAGTTTTTCACTGTGCTAGTTGGCAAGACATGAGAATACGTACCTTCTTATCTCTAGGACAAATCCTAACACCGGATAATGTGATAAAAAACATACTGAATTCGGAAGCTGCATGGAAAGAAGGAAAATACAATGATGAAAGGTGAGGAGAAAAGCCGCTGACATACCTGTGTTATATCCTTCTGGTTTATTCCGGCGTTCCGGCGTCAGACGGCAAAGATGAAAGTGGGGTTTTAGTGGGTTAGAGTCCCACCCTACCCTGTTACTTTCTAGCGCAGGGTGTGCATGAGCACTTCACCACTCACAAAAAAAAAACAATCCTTTTAAAAGTTCAAACTTGTCACCAAATGAAAATACGCATATTAAAGACATGTCCGAATAGACAAGCAGAACAATACATTCGAAGATATACCTACTCATAAAAGTTTCAAATAACAAAAAGGCGATTTTTGTTAAAACTGATACTTGACGTTTCCACAATAAAGTGCGTTCCGTTTTCAATTCATAGTTCGATTAGCATAGATCATACTTTAGACTAGATTGATGTTTTCATTCTTTTACACTTTTATTTAATTGTTTTGTGTCTCTTCCAACATTTATCCACAGGTACATCTGCAAATCGTGTTGTTTCCTGGTGAGTTATATTTATATTTGACGTGTGAATCGGTGGTTCGAACCGTAATGCTGAACGATCGAATTCCACTTCCTATCGTGCTAGCAATCACACGTTAATTCAAATATTTGTATGATGCGATACATTAGAGTAGGAGGGCGCAATTTGTGAGGAAAATAAAAAATGTTCATTCGATTTTATATTATCATATAATACTATAAACAATACATAATAGAGATCCATGAAAGCACTTCTATGACTCTACAGTTTAATCTTCTCTTACTGTAAATAAGGATACATTGAAGACTTTATTGAACTCATCATCAAAATGAATGGATGTAAAATACGGCAAAACTTCATAATTCTCTAAACAGCACCGATTTGCAAAAAAATTCGATTAACAATCTACCGATCCTATACTTCGAAGTTGATCTTATACAGAGAGTTGGTTTTAGCTTGGGGTGGATGACCTCTTTTTGGAGGTAAACATGTTTCGTTGGATAGATTGAATAATTTTTGTTTTGTGAAGTATTTTTCTAATACTTGATAGTTCCTGATTAATTCGCGGATAAAGTGTCAATTTTTTTCTTCAAGAATACCCAGGTTTTCATAATATCTTTCGAAAAAATAATTTTTAGTGGAAATTTAGCCTAAAAAATAATAAAAATTGTATTTCTATTGTTTGTAGACCCAATAAAAAAGAAGTAATAGGTTGTTGAGGTTTGTTTTCATTAGTCAAAAGTAAAAAGTCCCTAGTTTCACAATAAAGCGGGTTATTACGGAAATAATGTTGATCCCTATTTTTCTGCGACAAACAAATGCTAAAATCACTCTTTACTTACTACCCCAATTCAAAATAAACGTTTCCACTTCACAATCCACTTCATTCATGTACTTGAGATGTGTTCTAGAAGTTTGACTGGTTTGAATTGCTCAGTTCTCCAAAACGAGAACTTTATACAAACAACAGAACTACACTACTCTTCTCGACGTGCGTTTCCTCTTCTGAAATTCAGTTTTGAAAAAAAAAGAGCGTGAAGTGAGAGAGCATTTTCGTATTTCTGCAAAAAATCTTTTCCTAAATATAAGTTGAAAAGTATTATTTGAGTTATTTTGTGAAAAATTACACTAATGTCTTTTTTACTACAAGCTAATTTTTTTTTCAATACTAAGCACTTTAAACCTGTTGAACTTCTGGAGTGTATTACAAGCATATAAATAAACTGGGAAAAATTATTTTTTATTGGGTGGTAATCAGGGGGTGATTTTAATATTCTTTGTTGCCGAAAAAATAGGAAACGATATAATTTTCAGCATAACTTGCTTAGTTCAGATGCCAAGGAATTCAATAAAAAAAAATAATAGAAACTTTTTGAAGCATTTCAAGAATGGGTATTTCTTGTTGAAACTTTCGATTTTGGCATTTGACGATTACGAATCAATTTTCAACAAGCTCTCACTCTGTTTGTATTGATTCTGAAGACCAATATTTCTTTTGTTATTTCTGAAAAACTTCTTCACATGGAATGATTTTTTTCAATGAAACACTCTCTCTTTGAGTTATTCGCGAGAAACCACCTGAAAGAGATAGTTAATTGGCAAAAAAATTGACACTAACTCGCGAATAAGTCATATTGTATTGATTTTTAGAAAAAAAATACGGAACAGAAGTTGCCTACAATTGAACAATCCATTCATTGATTCTATTTTCAATAAAAAAATATCTCATTCTCGGAAAGGGGTTACATCCACACCCAGGGTAAAAGCATCCTCCGGTATCGTGTTAACTTTGAAGTAGAGGGTAAATCCTAATTTTCATGAACATCGGCGCTACAAAATCATTCGGGAAGGAAGTCAATGATAGTTTATCTATTTTATTTGTTTGAGACTTTCATGGGTGATTTCCTCCTTGCTTATCCGAGAGAAAACGGTGATTTGTCATTTGTTTTCAAGTAGTATTTACCAGAAACCCTGTAAAAGAAAAATTGATTTTTGAATTTTCTTCATATATCAGTACATATTATAAATTAATGTTTCTTGCCGAGTATATCTGTCTAAACGTGGTAAACTTAAAAACTACCAGACATATTTTCCACAAGACGTAATAATTCAAAAAGAAAGTTTTCTCGTATAATTTATTAATATTTCGTATGAATTGGTTGAATAATTACGATGTCAACTGTGTGGAATCGGGGCAGAGGTCTTTCTCTACGAGCCATCATCGAAAATGGATTCTGAGGTGAAAAGGGAAGTATTTTTGAAAGAATGAGCGTTAGAGGGCAACCACAACATATATAACTCCCTTGATCATTCTATAATGAACTATTTTTTGAAATATTTTCAAACGTTTCAGATTTTAACCGAATATTCTATCAAATTTGGACTGGACATATACGGAATATTGTGGAATGCTCTCAAGCACTGTTGAATTTTTTGGACTGTCTTAGAACTTTCTAGAGGACGGCACACCCAACTCCTTTATCTTCAAAAGAAGACTTTCTTCATGGAGGAGCTGATGTGACACTGACCAAAAAATGTAAACATGTATTTTCTGCTACCAGTGTGAAGCCAGGTTAGGTTGCTAGTATAACATTTGTTTCAAGTAATGGTAAAATCAACGTTATGCAAGATATCAATATCCTTGATTTCAATTTGAGACCCACCGGTCAGCCTGCTGGGCATCATCAGTACCGGGCAGGCGATCCTCGATTGAAGACAAACTGTGAATGAACTAAGAAGAGTACTTGATAAAAATAATACCCAGACAGCTGGAACAGCTATCTACCAGTGGCTCTTAAATTGAAATCAATATGGGAATTATCAGAAAATTACGTATCTATTTATATTTTTTCAGTATATTTCACACCTATGTCAGGACAACTACAGTAATATATCTTGTGAAAATACAAATATGAAAATTTTCAATATCAGCTTTTTTATTCATTAAGTGTTCCTCGTGATTGTCATGTATCATTTCTGATAAATATGATACATTATTTGAGTTGTATTGATTTCTCTATGTAAAAATGAGGGTTTTCAAAATTAATTCTATGATTCTCCGAATTATTATGTTCTGCTAACGCACAAAAATTTGCTTTTCGTTTACAATCGCTCTAGTGGGATGTAATGCGACTACTTAGAGGTCTAGATGTTTGTCCCATATAAGTTATAAAACAATCCACACAAAAATATTTTCATTTCAAATTGGATATTTGTTCATTGGAAATTGAAACTTTTAGTTTACTATATAATTCAGATATGGTAGTGACATTCATTTTGTAAATTTAGAGGTCATCATTTCTGAAAACATTAATTATTTTGGTGAGAGCGATTTATATATGAATGAAGGTATAATGTTGTCGCAAATAGTTCTTTTTCTGAATGTGTTAAACTTTTTTTGTAGACATTCTATTTCCTCTAGTTTTGTCAAGTTACTGTCATTGATATATGATTGAAAAGTCAATTGAATTGAATTTCCTTTTGAATATATTTGAGTCTGTTAAGTACTTTCATAGTTTCCGATCCATATTAAGTCCTACAGTCGACGTATTCATTCACCGGGTAGGTGAATTTCGAATATTTAACATTTGGCGACCGTGACAGGAAACCGACTATGGAGAAGGTAGTAGCAGTGCATCGAAGAACGTTCGATCAGGTTTTCAATGATATTTTGAACTAGTTTGACCAAGAAAACACTGACAAGATTGCCATATTCAGCAAAATTAGTATTCTGGGGGAGAAAGTCCAGGTCCTGATGGATTTGCACATACATATGGTGGATATTTCATTAGACGACGAATATGCTTTGAACAAAGAAATATCTACAGCTGATGAATACTCTGGCAAGTATTTTAAAGTCAAAATTTAAGCTGAAAATCTTTCAAACAAGAACATTATTGCTTACTCTCTTTCTCAATGTTCTAGTGAAACGTAGAAAAAACTGAAATTACCGAAAATTGGATATAGGAAGTTTGGTGGTTAGATCAAAGAATGGCTTTCCTTTTGGGAACAATTTCAGAGGGTGAATAATGATGAAGACATTGCACCAGAGGACAAATTTCAGTATCTGATCCAAGCATCGGTACCCAATTCGAAAGCTCGTCAACTCATAGATAGTTACCTCCCCAGTGTAAAAAATTACCCGAAAGTAATTTGAAGGCCTAAAGAAAAGATTTGGGAGGAAACATTTTCCTGTGAAATTCTACATGCGTAATTGTTGAATCTAATACTGAACAATTTGTCGACTCAAAATAACCTCAGCTTCCTTTACGACAAAATGGAATCACAATTACGTGCTTTGGAGACCCTCGCAGCTTGTGCAGCCATATTATATCCTTTAGTGGAGTCTTGTCTTCTAGAAAACCTCATACGAGTATGGCAACGAAGCAGTCTTTACGACATTGACTCTACATTCAAAGATCGCCTTGACAAGTTGATGAATTTCCTCAGGAAAGAAGTCGAGAACGAGGAAAGAATAACTTTAGCTACATCTGGATTCGGGTAAATTCAAGAAGAAAAATGATTCCCAAAAACATCATTCTTCTCTTCCAACCGCAATTGTATTGATGAATAACAAACTATACAAAAAATGTAATTTCTGTAGTGGACATCATCCAAGCGAATTCTGTACCGACGCAAAAAGTGGACATTATTTAACCGTAAAAAGAAACTCCTTGGAAAAACCTGCTATTATATCTGCTTGAATTATGGATATATTTCCAAAAATGTCGTGTGTCCATAACTTGCACTCTTTGGGGTGGTAAACATCATGCCATTATGTGTTCCAAGTCCGACGATTCAGACTCAAAAGCAAGTGTTATGAGTACAAGTGTAGAAAACAGTCTATCAATCAGTTCATATTCCGAAGTTTTTCTAGAGACATTACTGGTCAATTTGAATGGATTCGACAAATTCAGAACAGCTAGAATAATTTTTGATACCGTTTCTCAAAAATCATACATCACAAAATCTGCCGCTGAAGAGATGGAATACAGCTGCTCGCGGCAAGAAGAAATTATTCACGCCTTTTTTGGTGGTTCAAGAACGAATGTTGTCAAAGATAATTGTTATCGCATAAAATTGTGTGACTTGAAGAATAAATATGCTATGCTGATGATGATGGTATTTTGAGAATAAGAACGAAGGTTCCCGAAAGAACCGATTTCAGAACAGATAGTTCGTTTTCCTATCATTGTGCCTTCTAAGCATTATCTTGTGAGTAAGTTAATTCACGAAAGTCATGTCCGAGTTCTAGGATTATTGAGTCTCCTGCGTGAGAGATTTTGGATAATCAGAGGGAGAAAATCAGTTTAATCCATCATTCCAAAGTCTCCGAAATGTAGCTGATTCAACTCCAGACGTATTGAGGTTCTAGCCATAGCACATCCAGAAAATCGTGTGCGAGAAGCCAAAGTTTTTGAAGTCATCGGTGTAGATTTAGCTGGTTCACTCTACATTCGAACCGGAGAGAAGGCTTGGATATGCCTATATACATGTGCCATTTATAGAGCTGTTCATTAAGAACTTCTCTCATCACTGTCTCGAGATGTTTTCTTACAATCATTCAGAAGATTCGTGGCCAGAAGAGGAAAACCATCGATTGTATTCAGCGACAATGGCACAAATTTTGTTGGTGCTGAAAATGCCTTTTCACAATTGGATTGGAAAATGATAACCACTTACAGTACCACCGAAAGGATAGCGTGGAAATTAAATCCCCCAACAACTGCCTGGTGGGATGGTTGGTGGGAAAGGTTAATCGGAATTATGAAGGATCTACTGAGAAAAGTTTTGGAAAAAGCCAGTTTGACATACGAGGAGTTATTCACGATACTTTGCGATTGTGATTCAGTACTGAATTCGAGACCCCTCACTTATATGTCCGAAAATTGCAAAGATTTTGTTCCTTTGGCTCCTGCTATGTTCCTCAAGGGGATTTCAGAGTGCGGAGTTCCGGATTCAGACGCCGTGGAGAGTTCAGATTTAAGAAAACATCTGAGATACAGGATGAAGCTGATAAATGATCTTCGTAGGAGATTTCTGTTGTAATTGTCATCGGAAAAACGAAAACAGAGAGAAATCAAAATTGGTGAAGTCGATCTGATAGGCACCGATAATATCAAAAGGATGGAATGATCTTTGGCGTATATTCAAGAGCTGATACCTGGGAGGGCTAATAAAACACGTCTGATCAAACTAAAGACAACGAAGAAAATAGTACTCAGGCCTCTACAACGATTATATCCCTTAGAGATGAATTGTGCTGATGATTTGGACTCAACTCAGATATCAGACAGAGCAGTTTCTGCAAGAGAGACCGAAAGTAAAGAAACTGAAGAAATACAAGAAAATGACAAGGGATGTTTCGAAAATTCTGAACCACTTCCGATAACTACTACATATGGTAGAAAAGTTAACCTGTTCAAAGATTCTCTTCGTAGCAATTTGAGTCGTTGGTGAACAAGGTTCCACAACTCAAGGTGGGATTATGTCGCAGATAGTTCATTTTCTGAATGTGTTAAACTTTTTTGTACACATGGTATTTTCTCTATCAAGAGTTGTCAAGTTGCTGTCATTGATATATGATTGTCAATTGTATTGAATTTTCTTTTGAATATATTTGAGTCTGTTCAGTATTTTCATAATTTCCGATCCATATTTCGTCCTACATTCGATGTGTTCAGTCACCGGGTAGGTGAATTTTGAATATTTAACAAACGTCCTGTTCAACTCTTTCATTATTTTGAAAGTCTTTCACGAAATAAGATTCTATCTACTAACCTGAAATACAACAAAAATATCAATAATAGAAACGGAATGAATGGAAACGTTGAAACCAATTTGATCTTTCGAAGGCGATAATCGTTTTCCTACAATACAATTGTTCATTACCCCGTTAACTAATTTCTATTCCAGGAGTTGAGTCTTACCCTTCGTCAGGTGAGTAACCTCCCATCTGAGATTGCATATTATCTTCACAATTTCCCGTATCATAGTCCCATTGACTGTTACACCTCTCTGCTGAAAATCCACCGTTCACTATAGATTCTGCATAGAGTTCGTAAGATCTTGTGTGCGAGCACGACCCGGTTATATCTAAAGGACAACCTGGCTGAAATTCGCCCCCATTCGGATAGTAGTCCACATGACCTAATGTTCTCCTGAATCCAAGAAAGGCAGTATTGGTATGAATAACATGAACGAATTGTGCATCTGTGGGATCCAGTCGGTTGTTTGTTATTTCATAAAAAAATCCAGGTCCAGCTGGATCCAGCCCTGAAAACGAGTGGTAATAGTGAATGAATGAATGAAAATCTCTACAATGAAGAATGTATGATACCAGAAAAAGTCATTAGTAATACTTTAAAAATTGGAAATAATCAACAAGTTACAAAATATCTTCAATGACAAAAAATAGACTGGACTAAAATGTTTGTTGAACACAAAAACTGGTTCACGGTGACTCATTTCTCCCTGAATTTGGGGAAACTCATTCGTTCCAGCAGATGAAAAAAGAAAGGTCTTTTTCTTACCGTTTTATTAAATGTAATGTAATTCATTGAATTCTTTCATTGTGAAAAAAAATGTACCTGTTTTTCATTTGGGTCGGGAAAGTCCTACTACTGATTGAAAATATATTAATAATTTGTAGCTCTTTCCTTCTTGGGTGAATTTTTTCAAAAGTTCCAACAATGGAAATATTCAAGGTTTCGGATTTAATTAAATTTTTCTTCAGGGCTCGAAAAGTAGTTTTTCGTGTTGATAAATTTCTGTTTTAACATATTGAGATACATATTGGATACAAATGTAAAAAAAAATAAAAAACATTGCAATAAATTGATGGATGTAGCCGTTACTACGTGGTAGGAAATCATAATGAAGAAAAGAGAAATGAAACTTTCTATCTTTTTTACCAAGTATAAGTTTGAAAATGTCTGCAGTAACGTTAGTCTGAAACTGCAGTAACGTTAGTTACAAATAAAAGTGGTGAAAAACATAGAAAAAAAAACATTGCAACAACCAAATTTCCGAGACAACACCAACACAAAACGACATGAAACAACCGTTTGTTTCATCATGCTGGAAGGTTCGCCGTCTAGAAATTTATAGAACAGTCCGAAACACGCTGGTGTATTCGAGAGCATTTCACAACATTCCAGGATATCCCAGAACATTCTGGAATGTACAGGGAATTCCTGGAACATTCAAGAATACCCCAGATCATTGTTGCGGACTATATTGTACGGAAGAAGAAATCAGTGCTAGGAATATACAGTACGATGAAAATTGCTCCTCTCTTAACTTTCAAACGGGATAAGGTATCGAGGTTGGAGAAGGTTCACGTAAGAAAATATTTTATTCATTTTTGGTGAGAAAGACAATAATGCTGTATCACCGAGAGGGTGGTTACAACTTTTTTCCCAATAGAAAGGGGAGTCTTCTGACACCTCGTTTGATAGATGTTTCAATTCTCTTTCCACAATATCTTCATTTCTGAAAATTCAATCATCCTTTCCAGAGTGATAATTAGTTCTATACAATATGTGACGATTTGCAAACAAACGATTAATCATCATAATTTCAAGAAAAATGTGTTTATCCACATCTGAATAAATGTACAAAATATTCAACATTCACTCCCTGACAATAATGGAATATGTTAACAATTTTTCTCCTACATTATGAAATGTTCCTGAGTTATTCCATTACAAGCACCTCGTTTCCTATCAACGAGTTCTAGAATGAACAGTGATTGTGTATATAGTAAACTCCACATGTCACGTATCACCTCAAATGAGCATGTGATCTAGTGAGCACTTCTAAGGGATTACGTATTAAACGATTCGAAAAATGGTCGAACCCAGATGATTTTTCAACTGACATCGGTTTTCAGCAAGATGTGGTACCTCTTCATTTCGGTAGGCTGCTTTGGTCCATTACAGTGACTCGCTGGATCAACTAATATGAGGCCGTGAGATTTTTTTATGAGAATTTGTGAAATCTTAAGTATACGGTAGTCTATTCCGGAGCTCACGGTCGAAATACGAGATGCTCCCGAACAAATTACCCCAGAAACATTCGGTGATGTAAGAAATGAATTTGTGAACAAACTTCATCATTGTCCGGAAGTGAAAGGTGAACATTTTCTGAAATGAATTGGAATTAGATGTGAATACATGTTTTCTTGAAATTATAATATTTATCCTTTATTTGCAGATCCTCAAAATCAATAAAAAACTGCTAATTACTTTGGCTAATCAGATTTTCGAAAATCAAAAAAAAGTTGGATATCAAAAGAAGTATCACAAGATCCCCCTCTACTTTTGAAAAATTGAAAGTGTCCTCTCGGTGACTAGTAATGAAACAATATGTCTTTCTCATCAAAAAGTTTTTGAAATGATATCTTTTTACATAGAATCTATCCGACCTCTATACCTTATCATGGGTGGATGAGTAGAAGAGGGGGTATTTATATCTGCAAACTCGTATATAAGGCAAGATCTGTCAACGTAATTAAAATTTCGTCTAATTACTGTAACTACAACACAATTTCATATCAACTTCCTCAGATAGTAAATAATAATAGGTTTGTATCAATTCAGGATTTGTTGTGAGATTTTCCAAGATTCCATTGTTTGAATCTATAAAAAAACTTACCCACAATTAGAGGCAGATTTCCTTTGAAATCTTCTCCTATTCGCCCTGCGACATGTGCTCCAAGTGAATGGCCAACAATAAAAATTTTGTTAATGTTAAGTCCATGATCCGTTATGAGAACTTTGATCAACTCTCCAGTTAGTCTGCCTACATCCGGAACTGCTGCAAATGCTTCAAGGTAAGTTTTAAGAGCGATACTGCTCCAGTCCACGCAAAAAATATTCACATCCTCCTTTTCCAAAAGTGCGTTGCCTACTATTTCTCTCATGCGCGATGAAAAGTCGTTCTTCCAACCATGTACTACGAACCAAGTATCTTTCTTAGGTGAAAATGAGGTTTTTTCTACTGAGCTTGGATCTTTTGTATCGATTAGTACAGGAAGTTGATCTTTGCGGCTCGCAAAATAGAATTTTATATCGTTCTCTGTCGCATGGTAAGGTGGTATGGAACCTGTTCTATTCTCCAACTGGTACACCCCCGGAGCAGTTTCCACAATGGTACTGAACACACGATAGTCGCTATCAGTAACTGAAATATTTCATACTATATCAGTGTTTACGCTCATAACAGTGAAAAGAAGATGACCGAATTTGTAATATAAATTATTCGTTAATTTTTGGACTGTTTTTGGATATTATTTCTTAAAAGTTGTGATATATTAAAAATAAAAACACTCTCATGAAATATATATTTGTTAAACAAAGAAAATACAGTAGAATTCATATATAATGACCCCGCTCATAACGTCTATCTATATTTAGTTATTGAGAAAATATACCATTTAGTGTGACTCCGGTTTAAGCGACCAACCTCTTATAGCGACCGTTTTTCATGATAATACATCCGGTTAAAACGTCGCGCAATGTTTTGTTTACACAATCTGCGCACCAATACGTTGGCGAACTCCCTCTTCTCCCCTACTCCCCTACTAAGAGGTAGTATTCTTAGGTACCTCTATTGATAGATACTACTAACATATATTCATAGATACGCCAGAGGTTCCAGTATGAAGTTTTTGCCACTTGTAAGTTCATAAAGTTCGACAAAATGAATTCTGTGAAGCGAAAGTGTTTTGCAGTTGAAAAAAAAATTGCAATATCACACCGATTAGAAGCCGGTGAATCAAATATAGCCCTCGCAAAGAAGTTTGACGTGTCCCATTCTACAATATCCACAATTAAAAAGAATAAAGATAAGATCGATTCGCTGTTCCAAGCCAATGTTTTGAAATGCAAACGTGTAAGGACTTCTACTCATGAGCAGTTGGATAAGGCATTGTTACAGTGGTTCAAGCTACAGCGCGACCGGAGAATACCCCTTAATGGACCTCTGTTACAAGAGAAAGCAATTTTTTTTGCTAGACAGTTAGACATGCAAAATTTCACATATTTCATGAGTTGGATAAACCGTTTTAAAGTGAGACACAACATCGTTTGTAAAAAGAATGCTGGCGAGTCTAGGTCAGTTCAAAAAGTGATGTACACTTTACTACCAGAAAATTAATCCGTTTTGTGCGTCGTCCGGTTAGTACGACATAGTATACCCTGTTCCTTGAAAGTCGTTTTATCCGGATTCTACTGTATTTTTTCATTCGAGAAGTCTACCAGACGAAGAAATTGAAGGCTAGGCTACCAAAATGGAGTTTAACTGCGATAACATGATTATTCCGAACGGCAGCAATAAAACTGACTACACTCAGTTCATCATCATGATAACATGTGAATATTACTGGAGTTTTTTCCCAACACCTAATCGTTATTTTTACCACCTTGACATGTGTTTCGATCACCAAGTGATCACTTTCAAGAGGAAGATTGAACTGGAGAAACTAGCAAGTTTAATCCTATTTATCTATACAGGTGTACCATACAGGTATACTCTACAGGTATACCACACATACAGGTGTCTTTAATCTATTAATTTTACAATTTGTCCTTATGTAATAGTTAGTTGAATCTAATATTTAGGTAAAAAGGCGCAATATTGCCTATTTACCTGTCCTAAATTTATTTTAACAAGTTATATAGTATGCTATTAAGTATTGGTCCGTCATCGTTATTCATAATATCATTATGTTTACTCATTTCTACACTCTCATAGTAGTTGCCTGTTATTGTACTTGTCTAACTAATCTTAATGTATTGAAGTCTATGGATTGGTTTTGTTGCAAAATATGATGGGCGACTGTTGATTTTTTAGGTCTTCTTTATTTTTAGTGTAGTAAGTGTTCCTTATATCCAACTTTAATTGATCTTTTTGTCTGTCCATAATATTCTGCATCGCCGTCTTTACATTCAATTTCGTGAATTTTACGTACCGGTACGTGCTTGTACGTACAGGTATATTCCTGACAGTTCACATCACTGTGGACATAAAGACATATTGTAAAATTAATAGATAAAACAAATTGTAAAATTAATTTAAGACACCAAAGATGTGGTATACCTGTATGTGTGGTATACCTGTAGGGTGTACCCGTATGGTACACCTGTATAGATGAATAGAGTTAGTCTTGCAAGTTTTTCCAGTTTAATCTTCCTCTTGAAAATGATCACTTGGTGATCGAAACACGTATCAAAGTATTTGAAATAACGATTTGGTGTTGGGAAAAGAGTCCAGTACTATTCATTACTACACCAAAGGTTCCAAACAGTGCATAACAAATGGTAACATGTTATTAAGGAACGAAATTGGTGCAATTTGAATAATATCGATACATTTAGCTGAGAATATGTCACAGTCTCTATTACAACTCATACGACCATCAAATAAAATTCATTCATACAATTAATATTCAAATAAAATAGACCGAAAAAAAATTGCCACTTTCTACTGATTCCCATAACCTCACGGAAATAAGATAACGATTCTCCAGTTCTAACTCCATCTTGAAAACGAAGAATTTATATATGATATTCAGAAATTTCCATATTTTATTCGGAACTCGTCGGTATAATATAATGTAGCAATTTCATTGAAATAGAAATGATTAGGCGACGTACAATAAGTGCATCTAGCCGCGTCAAGTAGATAAGTTATATGACTCGGGTGCCGGCTCTACGGTTTCATGTTGAGGTACGGTAGATTTCAACAATGAAATCCTATTGTTGAAAAATACCCAAATAATCTATAATGATTTGATCATTCCTGTCATTCCTGTTTCGTCTTTGTACAGGATTACTTTTTAACATAATTTTTGATACTGCACCAGTTTCATTGAATATTTTATTTATTTTATTTACCGTACCGCAGCTAATACGAGGACGATCTGGATGTCTCTCATTAAATACTCTACAAACCTCTTTAGCACTTCTAACGTCATCTCCTTAAAGGCGTACAATTTCAATTTTCTCTCTTACGCTCAATCTTGCAGCCATGGCACAAAATAATTCGAAGAACTGTAAGGTAAATATTGTTGACAATAGTGCACTTAAATCTTTCACAAATGGCAAACTGTAATGTCATTTCCATGGCAACTAAGATTTCAATTGAAATATTAGGTCTTAGTTTTAGTTAATTTGCGTGAAAACTTGAATGTAATTCCGTTATTTTCATTAAAAATATTTACGTTATTTGTTTTTTTTTCACCTGGCGGCACTTTTAGCTGTGTGAGTTTTCGAATTTTTGAGTTGTCATAACTTTGTTAATAATGAATATTTTTTCATGAAATTTTGGTCACACCTGTTTAGAGGCACTCTGAATCCAGTGGCGTAATGATTTTTTCAATAAAAAAATCGCTAATAAAAAAACCCAATTTTCAACTAAGAAAAAATATCGTAGTATGCCCTGAAACTTCAATAAACATTTCAAATTTTGTCCCAAGGTAGACCTTCCAGTACTTGACGAGTATAGCAGTCAGAGGCAGAAAGATTGTAAAACTATTTTTTCTGTTCAAGCTTTCGAGGCGTTTATTGTCTCTTCATCGGGAACTCTACAATGATTATTTAATAAACAAACGGGTATGGACAACGTGTTCATACTTACGAAAGTGAGGTTAAAATGAATTTAACACATAAGTAACAAAGAGGATCCTCAAATATGTATGTCAAGATTAAAATTGGTTAAAAACATGTAATATTCAGTCAGAATTTTGCAATAATGTGAGATGATTGCACGAATAATATGAAACAATGAATTCGAAAATTGAACTCAACAGGTAGTCAGACATGATTACCACAAAACATTAAGTTTGACAGATTTTGTTGTTCTGACCAATGCATTGCTGCCAATGAGATTTCACAGAACTGTAAAATGATGAATCACAGAGAGTGAAGGTAAGGAGTTTCTGTTCTGAAATTGTTAAGTATTATCAAATTTATTTTTTTTATTTAAGCAAAGGAGATAGGTATAAATCAGGCTGAAACTTTCAATTATTATTTTCATACAAATTGTTATTATCTAGAATTGTGTTAATGGAAGATCTGTTGAAGAGTAGTTCATAAATGAGAGATTTTGGATAGCCATTTTGAAGAAACAATTCTGCAAGTTTTTTTAAATTTTGTGAACGAAGGCTGCTATGAGTAGTGCACACTAAATTTAAATGATTTGTAATTGAAATATCTTTATACTTCATCATAATGTTTAAAAACCTGCAGAATTTCATTGATTCCATTATGTGGAATACTGAGAATAATGTCATCGACATATTTTTTTAAAAAAGGAATTTGAAAGGATAATTTATTAATACACGCTTCTACCAGATCATCCATTACATATTGTGCTAAAATGGGTGAAACTGGGCTGCCCGTAGGCATGCCTTGGATTTGTTTATAAATGTTATTGGAAAAATAAAATACAGTAGAGTCATATAAGAACTCTATTGCAGTACCGGGCAGGCGGTCCTCGATTGAAGACAAAATGATAGTCATCATCGTTTCTGTCAGGTTGGAGGAGACAAAATGAGAAAAACCAAAAAAGTACTTGATAAAAATAGCTGCGTAAACGCAAATGAAACATAAGTCGAACCACCTATTGGTGTGACACCCAGTCAACTTGCGAAGTTTTTATGTCAGTGTTGGTGGTTTGACCAATCAACCGACAACTGCAGTAGCAGAAATTTGGGAAGCTAACCTGAAATGCCATCGGAAAACGAATCATTTTGTCTTTCGAAGGCGATAATCGTTTTCCTACAATACATATTCTTTATAAGATGGTTGATTTTAAAAGCCTGTAATATTACGTATTAAACATCTATGGTGATAACCACGATCAATTATTTTTAAGAGTAAAATAATTTTCAAAATTTTTGTTGCAAAGTTATTTTTATTTTTTGTTAAAATCGAAAATTACTCAAAATTATAACAAACAACAACTTGATATTCAATAATATCTAATCACAAAACAACAACATGAAATTGGTATTTCGGAACAAACTCGTTGATTTTCTTGTCCAAAATAATTCTCCAAAATAATCTCCAGAAAATCAAAGAGTTGGTTTCATAATACCTATTTTATTTTGATGTTTTGTGATTTGATATTATTGAATAGTAAGTTCTTGTTACAATACTGTATAATTTTGAGTAATTTTCGGTGTTAACAAAAAATAAAAATAACTTTGCACCAAAATCTTTGAAAATTATATTAATCTTCAAAAAAAATTGATCGTGGTTAGCACCATAGTTGTGTAATTTGTAATATTGCAGACTTTTAAAATGAAACGCCGTATACAGGATGCTGTTTATTTATGGTTTTAGCAAAGCTTTCTTTTCGTAGTACCCAATTAAAAAAATGGGTGAAAAAAATAAAACATCACTTTGATGGCCATGATTTCAAATCTAGATGTTATTTTCAATGCCCAACAACTTTTCTGAATAACATTTTCCGAAATTTTCCTAAATAAGAGTACTTTGCTTTTGTCTCAAAATAAAATATTAGAAGGATCCTCCTATATTACGTGTGTTTTACTGTATTTTGTTGATGCATGGTTAGTTTTAGGGGATGCACAAACTTTCATCAGGAATAACTTTTTGTCGAAAAACCCTTAATAAAGAAGTTTCCCATATGGTGTATACTTTGGCGATGACACTGACACTGTATAGCTGGGTAATTTGTTTTTCCGTTGGTTATCTACCACACGTATCTACAAGGTCGCATGAGAGGAAAGAGGCAAATGCACCTCCAAAATGACCATGATGAAGTAGTGTACTTTGATTAAAATGTTGGTGATTATAGTTATAACTATTTTATTAAAAATTTCGACACTCAAAAGATAACAAGCCGATCTTAAATAGTAAATTGTGATATTAACACGCCCAAATTGTTGATCAAATTCGAATAACTTAAACTAATTGAAGTAAAAGAATCTGGCTAATCAACTTTCATGAAAAAAGCATTGTAAGATGATTAATGGAAGTATATACCAATTTTATTGTAATTGAGATATGGTTAATAGTTTTCAACATATTTCAGTCCTCATATTACAATGAATATTATGATTTGAATGCTCAATTTTAGAAAATAAGTTCATATTTTTCACTAACGAATAAAATAAAAATAGATAAAATGATGTCAAAAATAGCATCCAATTAAAAAAGAAATTCTGCGTCGAAAGTACATCGACAAGCTGTAGCGAAGGAAACATATACAAAATCAACGAAAAGCGCTGATTGGAAAATGAAACATTCAGATGAAGTCAAAATGCCGTATGTAAATGAGTCGAAACAACTTCTTATAGGAATTCTTACAAATAATGAACTTTTATATATGTACTCACTTGGGATACCAGAAGTGGTAACAAATAAAACCGAAAGCGTTATAATGACCTTCATAGTTGAACTTTTCGCGATTTCTGATTATATTGATATGCAATGATGAATTTATATAGCTTTGAATTCAAATTGATTTTATCATATAACATAAATGAAAAAGTGATCGACATGTGCACCGATAAAAATTTAAATGATTTGTAATTGAAATATCTTTATACACATCCACACCAACCTAAAAATTGTTATCAAAAGATTATTTCGAAAGTACCATATCCTATGAACTAAAACAATAATATTGATGTATTACGTACATGTTGAGGCTAATCGAGGCCAATATTGGGAGATGAGATCTTATTGTTACCTTTTTGATGAATTGGGGATATTTTTAAAGTGAGTAAGTTCTCTGCAATTATCAATCATCAATTATCATCCGGAATAGTTCCGGATGAACGCTAGAAAATCATCAACAGTTTGGATATGATTTTCTATCTCACGTCAAAATCGAAGGAATCGATCAACTTCTTGACAAGAAAAACAACAAGTGCGAAGCCTTCTTTTGAAATATCGAAATTTCACACTTATCAAATCACCTGTTTTCTGATATTGGAAACTATATACAGCCCCCTGAAGTGCTTCTTTATTCAGATACTGATCATGCTTCGGAGGCGAATTGATGAATGTTAAACAAATGAAATCTAATAACTGAGTTCAATAAATATTAACAAATAATAAATATTGAAAAATAGGTTGAATGGTACTATTGAAAAAAAAATATTGTAGATAATGTACTAATACTACGGTATTGATCAGATAAAAAAAATCAAACCATTGGGTGTACCGTAACCTGACTAAATATGTTAATATTACGCCCAACAATTTTATTATTTTACAATACCGTAGATTTCTGAGCAGAATGGTATAATGACTGCTACCTAGGATCATCCGAATTATTGTTGAAGTTTTTAGTACATTGTCTGCATCACTATTATTTCTTTTTTCAATAAAAACACTTGACATACTTTCTTTACTTATTCCATTTTCAAGTTTAGAGTTTCTGTTTTTTTTTACTGAATTCATCTCATTCTGTTTAGTTCATTGAGTGCCTCATGTTATATGTAATCTGCCGTTTCGTAGCTGCGGCCATCTTGAATTTGCATGTTTTTCAAAGCGTATCACTATTTTACTAGTCAAGCCCTGTGTTATGTGTTACCCAAATTGAGGTAGGTAGTTGTGAAAAAACATGTCTTCCGCCATTTTGTAGCTGCGGCCATCTTGAATTTGCATCTATTTCAAACTGTACAACTATTCTGCTAGTCATGCACTGACATTTAATACTCATATCGAGATAGTTGTGAAAAAACATGTAATCCGCCGTTTTGTTGCTGCGGCCATATTGGATTTACAATGATACATAATTTATTGAATTGTATTGTGTGTACTAAATATCAGATCAGTCTGTCAACAGGAAGGGGTTGAATCAAACTTCAACTACTAAATAAAATCGTTTCAAAAAGGACAAAGAGATGGAACCAGAAACTGCGATCTATATTCAGAACACTTTGAAAAATGGATTATTTGAATTATAAAAGTTTGAAGGAATGTAAGATCCCCTTTCCCCATTTTGATTGTACAAATTATTTTGGAAGCAGGTTTAGTCGATGAACGTGATCTGCAAAATACTGATTCGAATGAATTACGAAATTAATATACAATAATGGTGTTCAATTGTTATCATTAATGAATCATTTATTTGGTTGATGCACCTAACGTTAAACAAATTAAAGGTGAAACTGGAACCTCTGGCGTAGAATAAATCAAAAACAAGCACCCTTTTTATTCACCAGAGATGCAACTACCGTCCTGAAGAACGTTTCACCAATCAAGTAAGGTTCTTCAGGGGATGAAGAAAACTGTGTTTTCATATCTCGTCCAGAAAAGTATTCCATTTTTGGTGATTGGGAGAAGTAATTGTTATGGANTTCACCAATCAAGTAAGGTTCTTCAGGGGATGAAGAAAACTGTGTTTTCATATCTCGTCCAGAAAAGTATTCCATTTTTGCTGATTGGGAGAAGTGATTGTTATGGATTTAATGTATAACTCTTTGAATACATTATAATAAGAATAATATTTCTTTAAACAGGTTTGCAAAAAATCACCACACAATCGACAATATGCAGGGAAAACTAAAATTGCTCTTGAAAAATTGAAACTCAGGAAGATACAAAATCAACAACTCTCAAATTGATAATTGCTCGTTTCAGATGCTACATGTATGAAATGATTTTTGATTAGATGCTGAAAATCACTTTGTTATTTCAATTTCCCAATTATTTGGAGAATTGAAAAATTTTCCTCATATTATTTTCCGAATGAAGTTTCAACACTGATGTATCAGGTAGTATAATTCTTCCCAACTCCAATGGATTGCTTGATCTAGTTGCTTACGCAATGCGGATTAAATGATTTCCGTTCATTGTCATATCTCTTTATTCAGCAACATTCTCCTATTGTTCAGAAAGATTGAATATTGAAATATTATTTCAAATCAGTTGACGTCTAATTTGAACCTTCATCTTGTGATGCCATTCCTATCGACAGATTATTCGATAGCAAATATTTGAATGACGTGTTTGAAGCAAGGTTGAGCGCCCTTCCTATTTTGTGTAACCGTAGAATTAATAAAATCTTACCTATTTATTGCGCAAATTTCGATACCGTATGAGGATTTTATCTGATAATTATTGTTTGCTTCTCAATTTATCGTAAATGCGAATACATCAACTGACGTGGTCCCTCGGCTATAGTTTGAAAGCGCAAATTTTTATCATTTGTTTCTTGGACATATTGACTTTAAAAGTTGAAATTTCAAGTCTGTAGTCGTAATTTTGGGATTCAAGGAGAAATTTTGAAATTGAAGTCATAATTTCGATTTCGATACAATACTACATCATACAAAAAGAGGTTATAATCTGAATATAAGGTGTTTTCATACGACCTTGTGTTCGCTTTGGGTTTTGATGAATATTTTAGCAAAAATTGAGAATCAAAAGAGTTGGAACATTAACATATCTAATTTTAATTGAAATCACTTCACTGATTTTTTTATCGAGCACTAATAATGACAACGACAACATTATTATTGTATCTATTTATTTTATCACTTGACTGAATGTTATTATTGAACTCTATTGATGATTCTATTCCGTGAACATTCAACGAATTGAACGGCTATTGATTCAGAAATTTTAACGACTTGAGATAGAACAATCTCTTTTATTAGTCGCCAACTCAAAATTACCATTCAAGAATTGAAGAACAGAAACAATATTGTGTGTTTCCCTTCCTGATGTTTTTCTGTTATTTCAATTAACCTGGTGATGATTTCATTGCAAGAAAGTTGTAAATGATTTCAACTAGTTAGTTAGATTTGTTCAAATATGTTAGCAGCCCATCCATTGAATTTTTTGAGGTTGCTTGCTGCATACATGTAATAGTGTCAGTTGTATCAATTCACTTTTTAAACAGTAAAACATATATTCCACATGGTATTTTTATTTCCCTTCATAAGAATAGTACGTGGCGGTCAAAATCATCTCCTTGAAGATTATGCACCATTTTCATCAAATATGGTTCACTTTGAGACTCTTCAAAATTGGGAGATGGGTACTTAAATGATACTAGATGGGGTAAACGGTTTTTCTTTATTTCTCATTGCGAACTGTACATCAAATATTGTTGCTAGTGATCCCTTCTGTAGAAATTTTTTTATCAGGTCTGATACATGTATTTAAAAATCTGAGTGAAGGGTCAATCTTAAGTCCTCTTGTGGAGTTGATTTTGTTGAATGACCCCAACTTCAACATGAATCCTATAAAATATATTCAGTATACTGCTAATTCTTCGATGATAAAATTATTCTACAACTCCAATTGAAAAGAGTCAGGATAAATAGAAACAGAAGTCAAACTTTAGTTTTCTCATAAAATTTTCACCAGTTCATATTGAATATCTCTTCATTTGAACAACTGCAATATTCTTTGAACTTTGACGCTATGTTTAAAACCTACTTCGCATGTTGTTTTCATTTTGAATATGGATATGGGGTGACTCATGTATTGTTACCCTTCGAGAAAAGGTAATGAGAATTATCACATTGGAGTCAGATATAGTTGCAGACAGTTATTCATCAGAAATGAAGTTAAACCTCCACCGTACGCATACATTTCTGAAACCAAACATGAGATATATCTTAGTATACAATCATAAAACTAGAAATTTCAATTACCCAGCAGTTGTCAAAATAACTCCGTTAATCTGAATAAGGGCCGGTTTATCAATCGCCAGCTAACCTCATTTGACTAATGGTTTTGTCTTAGCTCCTAGTCAAACTGTTTTTCGTTATCATGTTACCATCAACTGGTAGCTGAAGTCTCAGTGACCGTAACAGTCGCTAGAAAGTGATAGTTTTTTTATTTAAGCTGACAGTTATGTCACAAAATATCAGTTCCGATATTCTGTGGTTATGTGGTCGCGCATGCGAAATTAGGTTATTTATGTTTTTTGTGATAAGTTTGAGAAATACTTTTTGCAAGTGAAGGGTTAATTACTATAATTGTTTGATTAAAGAAGTTTTCCATTTGTTGAATGACGAAGATGAGGATATATTGGAGTTCAAAGAAGACCTTACATTGTTAATGAACGTAATGATGCTTTCAGAGAATTAGATGAGGTAGAGACTTACAGGTCCTGATGTAGAGGAATTAAAATCAAATTCAACTCTTTCCCAGGCCTCTTCTTTCTTTTTCCATGTGATGGCATCAGTTTTTTTTGTTCTCAATGATAAATTTATAGGAATTGGCAATTTTTATTAGGAGTGATCTGTCTGTTTCGGTAAAATTGGATGTTCTTTTATTGCTCATTTTCGTTTTTCATATGCCCTCTCAACTCATATAGGTTATTATGTATAACTCATGAACTTTTTGTTAGCAGTTGTCATTTTTGAAAATCAATCCTCCAATAAAAACAAGCCCCTGAAATAGTCACTTATGCCAACCTTAGTTAACTAACAGTTATTAAACATTAGCATCAGTCAGGGTATGATAAACGATTTGAATACTAACTGCAATATTGACTATCAGCTAAGCTTAGCTTCGAGGTAGCTAACAGGAGCATTTAACTACATATTGATAAACCGGCCCTAAGTCTAATTATCTACCGAATGACATGCAGATCCACATAAAAATTTCAACAGAGACCTGAGGCAATATTTTTTGCGCCGTTGTTTTCATAGTGTTTCATAGTTTTTTGAAGCTGGTTTCTACCTATTCAATATTATTTAACATTACAAGTTTATTCAGAAAGAAAGGAAATAAAACAAACAATGTACTTCAATTCCTAGTTTTCTGCAAAAGGTGAGATAGGGTTAGTTTCCAAGAAGTAGGTTCCAGTAGCACTGTAATGAAATGAAAATGAATTTGAATTAGTGGTTATTCAATGAATTTATAAATCACTGAATCACTTCCGAAAATTAGCAAAAGTGTTCTGAATTTAGTGCAAAATATTTATTTACGAGTTTTGAATTTGGGCTTTATTGTTGAGTTGAATCCTCATAGTAACAAAAGACAATAGAGGCGCCTTTTCCATCCTTACATTGAAGGCAGCATAACTTTGTTTGTTTACAAGAAGTGAGTTGGACCATAAAACAGTGGCGGTTGGTTTAGTTGATACTCGGAGGGATACTATATATATATTTATAAAATAAATCATTTCAGGTGAAAATGTATTCTGTTCAAATAGTTCCTACAGAAAATCTGATTTATTATTAATGATTATAAAAATGGGGCCAGTTTTTCTATCACCTTCTAGATTTTTATTTATGTATGGCTTTATAATAAAGCGCATGATTTACTGGGTTAAAATTAAATTATTTCAAATGAACTTATTCATAACAATGATCAATGTTAATTTCAAAACTAATGAACTTTGCTTCATAAAATCACATGAAGAAATTTGTGATTTATTCTCAGATTTGATACGGTTTGTGAGGTCCGATATAAAGAATTTTCGATTAGAAATCATGAATATTTATTATTATGTGATTTCATTCAAAATTAGTATCTAGGGGTCGTTGTGGACCGACATTATGAAAGGGGTTATTTTTGATGTTTTTAATGATCATTTTTTTGATCTTATTCTTATAAATAAACTTTTTCAAACTAGGTTTATATTATTTCATTATTTGACATTTCCCAACCAAAAAAAGGTTGGAAAAATGACAACCGTCATTTCTTATTGAATATTGTCTATATGTAACTCGAGAGCCTCGTGCAAAGAAAGAAAAACCAAAACGGAAATCATATTCTTTGTGTGACGTGAGTTAGTTGTTGAGTGAGCAATAACAGATTTAACACCGGTTGCACAAGAATATCTATTCAGTATACAAACTGAACATTGAACAGAAACCATTTCAGTCTGTTGATCACAGAATGAATATGACCTGTAGCACACATATGAAAAATATATTTTTCATGTTTGAATACAGTTTTTTTCATCTACATTAATGAATTTTCGTAATTATAGAATTCGTCAGCATGAATTATTGAAAAAAACATAATGTCGGTCGGTAATGAATGATATCACATAATAATATCAAACCATACCGCTTGTTCGTCAAACCTGAGAATAAATAAAAATTTCTTCATCTGATTTTATGAAGCAAAGTTCATTACTTTTGAAATTAACATTTATCCTTATTATGAATTAGTTCATTTGAAATAATTTAATTTTAACCCAGTAAACCACGCGCTTCATAATAAACCTATACACAAATAAAAATTTAGTAGGTGGTAGAAAAACTGGCCTCATTTCCATAATCATTAATAATAAATCAGATTTCCTGTAAGAACTATTCGAAAAGAATACATTTACACCTGAAATGATTTGTTTTATAAATATACCCAACTGGCAATTTCATATTTTATAATAGTTGCGGAAACGTTTCGGAGAAACAAATGATAAAACTACATTTCTCCCAGAAATGTTTTCAATGTGTTTATAAAACTGTTATAAATAGGAAATTGGCACCGTTTTATGTATAGTTATTGTCAATATTTTGTAAGGCCTTTTAAAAACACTAAAAAACAGTTTTATAAACATTTTGGCAGTTACTATAAAATTTGTCTAACACTTTCAAAAAGTAGTTTTGTAAAAACTTTCCTTAATGCACTTCTGCAACATATTTAAGCGATACCTATAGAATAATCAGAAGACAGTTTTATAAGAGTTTTTTAGTAGTTCCAAGTAGGCGTTATAAAATATAATACAGCCCAAAACGATAACAATAAATTAAAAAAGTGTTGAAAATGTTTTCTTGAAGATGCAAGAAGTAATTTTGTATTGAATACTAGGAAAATATAATTGATATGTCACCAAGAAAGGTTGAAGCCATTTTAAAAACCTCTAGATAATCGTCAGATTATGAGACAGCACGTCTAAAACATAAAGATGAACCATATATATTTCAATCTGACGCACTTGAGTATTTCAAAATGGCGAATTTTTTTTTCAACTTATAACAATGGCCGCGAGTTTGCGTCAGATCGAAATCGTCAGATTATTGAATGAGAGCTTCTTTTTCTGTTACACTCAACACCCCCTTAGAGAATGTGACGCGCTCGATTATTTTTTTTTACTTTTAACCCTTACGTACAACCACCCACATCATACAAACGATCAGATTAACATACCAACATTATTAAAAATACGTAGGACATTGATGCTATCAATATCTGACGCGTTCGAGTATGTCCATGCAACAGTATTTTTTTACATATTCAAATATCTGTAGCCGCTTCCCCCACCGATGAAAAGGTATATATTATATAACATGTTTTTTATCATCTAAGCTTTGCAACCTGATATGTCTAAGTGACGCTAGAGTAAATCCCCATCTTGCATCGTGGGCTCCTCTGCTATTACTCTCGGAACTGATGTTTGAGTATTTCATAATGAAGAAATGTATGACTCATTTCTTGACATAACCATCTAATTTGATCAGATGATAATTCTTGTGAAATCATTATGACTTCTTCAACTTTCAAAGTTGTTGCCATACATGCATCACGGTTATGTAAATTAAGTGAAAATCTCACAGTGAACTCTCATTTGAATACGTTATATCGAATTTTTATCAGGTATCGGCCAATTCCCTGAAAGTTATTATAATAGATACAGTGTCAAAATCGTAGCAAAAACATGTTGCTTACAACAAAGCATAAAAAAAAAAAATTGTTTCTTATATGTTACTGTCGAGTCTTTGTAGATATCAAGTCAAATTCTCAACCTTCTTTCATGACACGTCAAAAATGTTGTTTCACAAACTAGTTTATATATTTTGAATATTTGTCTGTTCTGTTTATAGTTCATGGCAAATATAAGGAGTTGCAATATGTGTCTAGCACCTCGGTAACTGTTTTGTCTACGATTCTTTAGTGTCCACTTACAGAGTCAACATACAGTGTCCACGTACAGAGTCAACCATCACATACACATATTCGATTTTGAATATTTGTCTGTTCTGTTTATAGTTCATGGCAAATATAAGGAGTTGCAATATGTGTCTAGCACCTCGGTAACTGTTTTGTCTGCGATTCTTTAGTGTCCACTTACAGAGTCAACATACAGTGTCCACGTACAGAATCAACCATCCCGGTCCGCCATTCACTCCATATCTCCATGGCTTTTCTTGACAGTCTACACTCTTGAATTCATCAATGTTTCGAGTGCAGCCTGGTAATCTTTCAGAATACTGACCCGCAAATGTACAAGAAATATATTGAGAATTTTAGATGCTTGGGTGATTTGAGTATTTACGTCCATAAAATACCTAATTATCAATTAATCCGTAGTATGCATTGGGAACAAAATATGTTTTAGTCAGTATTGTTCACGAACACTGTATAACTACAGCTGATGACCATCCTGTTGAATGAAAAATCAACTCCCTCTATGGAAGACTGCTTAATATTTAATTATATTTGAGGCGACACTCTTCGAAAATCAGCCCTTATTCTCTTCTTCATATTTTCCAGTGTGGTTGAAGTAGAGTCATAAATCTCATTCTTCAAGTATCTCTATAGAATAAAAATTGAAGCAAGTCAAAACTGGTGTCCTCCTGGTGTCCTCCCATCAATTCATTTANTGAGTGAAGGCCCCACGACGTCTGTTAAAATGAACAGTTTGTTCATCAATACCCCAGTCAGGAAGGGGTACACAAGGCCAGAGCAGCATAGATGTTATTGACCTCTATGTCGTTAGCAAAACAACACCTTGAGATTTGAACCACTCGCCCCCATGGCGAAAGACAGTTTAAAGGGTACGGGAAGAGATTTTCAACCTGACACAAATCAAGATGGATTTCGTTGTAGAGTCAACCATCCCGGTCCGCCTTTCACTCCATATCTCCATGGCTTTTCTTAACAGTCTACACTCTTGAATTCATCAGTGTTTCGAGTGCAGCCTGGTAATCTTTCAGAATACTGACCCGCAAATGTACAAGAAATATATTGAGGATTTTAGATGCTTGGGTGATTTGAGTATTTACGTCCATAAAATACCTAATTATCAATTAATCCGTAGTATGCATTGGGAACAAAATATGTTTTAGTCAGTATTGTTCACGAACACTGTATAACTACAGCTGATGACCATCCTGTTGAATGAAAAATCAACTCCCTCTATGGAAGACTGCTTAATATTTAATTATATTTGAGGCGACACTCTTCGAAAATCAGCCCTTATTCTCTTCTTCATATTTTCCAGTGTGGTTGAAGTAGAGTCATAAATCTCATTCTTCAAGTATCTCTATAGAAAAAAAATTGAAGCAAGTCAAAACTGGTGTCCTCCTGGTGTCCTCCCATCAATTCATTTATTCGGTAAGCATTTATTCAAAAATTGTCAACAACTCTTCATCCAACACATACATTTGAACTAACATTTCGAAAAATTGAAATAAAAAAGTTTTTGAATGTTTGAGTTGAAAGGAGAGAGATTAATTTTTGGAAAAAGAAAGGTTTTGGCTTCCTAGGGCTGAGATTCAATCAAATAGGAGAATGAATGTCATTATGTATTGTCATCAATGACATGAGTGGATTAAACTCATTGGTGACATTAAGTCGTAATTTTATGAATGAATTGAATGCTTTTTCTTATGTTGTTATCCAGATTTGGTGCTGAAGATCTGATAAGACAACTGCCTCACGGTGAGGATGACAGTGTTTCATGTGAAGTGAAATTTTACCTTTTTCATTTACTGTATTGTGGAGCAATCCTGTAATGATATCTAATTCAATTCCATAACGAATATTTGGAATACAAACTGAATAAAAAAATATTTTTTGCATATTTCAGCGTTCATATAAAAATATTTGTTTCGAAAATATTCCTAATTTGTGTAATTCAATGTATATATAAAAGTAGCCCTTTTGAGAGGCTTTTTTCTCAGTTTTTGTATGAAAGATATTTCTTTGTCTGATCGGCACATTTTTGTAATGAGTTACTTTTCTGAAATCGATTTCTTTCTTCCTTTCTTTAGAAGATTTTCACATTTTTGTATGAAAATGGATGAGTAGAAAGTCAAAACTGGGGAATGAATACAAAACGCTGCCCTCAAACAAATTGCAACACAAAACTGATAAAATGTTCTACAAAAACTTACTTTTTATCTATATTGCATTGCCCCATCATGGAAATGAAGTTTTTGTTACACTTCTTATTCGTAAAATTATCATAGTTGTCACAGCTGTGACTTTTGAAATTTCCAGTAAGTAGTGATTCCGAGTAATATTGGAAAGCTCGATGATGACTACATTGTCCTTTCAGAATAACATTGCAACCAGGTTGTTCTTTACCACCATTGGGATAATAATCGGCGTGACCAATTGGATTGAACATGCCATATATATTACTAGTGTGAATAACTTGAACGAATTTTGCACTGGACGGATTCAATCGGTTTGTTGTTTTCTTGTAGGAGAAAAGGGGGCCTGCTGGATCCAGACCTAGATGATTGAAAATATTTTTGAAAAATTCCAGAAAAAAATTTGTTGAAAAACGGCGATGAAGGAGTAGTTTTTCAATACGTCAGGAAGAGCTGATTAAAAAAGAGAACATAATAGTTGAATTTTATCGAATGAATATCAATATTGAATAATTCACAAAATTTTCCACCAAATTCAAATGTGTTGTTCTCTGGTATTTTTCTCCAAAACAAATTATAGTTTTTAGCTATTGATTAATCGATTAATTTCTGTTTCTAGGGTTGGGTTCTAATCAAGGAAAAATCATTTAGATACCCTTTCAGATAATTCAAATTCACTGAGAACGAATCCAAAACAAGGACTACTCTGTAAAACCTAAACTGCAACACTTTTTTGGACGCACATTTCACACATCATCAGGAAATGAACTTGACCAGATGAAACTTTTTGAACAATCAAATGTTCATATGAGAGTAGTTGTTTCGGAAGTATAGACTGTGACATGAATTTATTCGTAAGACTGATCGAAATACTGAATTTCGTTTCAAAGAGCCCTCAGAAGTCTAATATTCTTGAGATTGGTGAATGACTCTAGACTTTTGAATAGGAGTTCAACAGCTCATTGTTCATTTTTATATAAATCATCATGTTGAAATTGAGCTCCCGATGACTTCAACTTGGCTATTAACATTTGTTATTCTATTTGTTTCCATTTGTTATTCGAATTCTGTAAAAAAGAAAACTAGTTTTTCATTTGAGACGATTTTTAAACGTGATTTCTGTTTTGGAAATTGAAAGGGACTGCTTTTCAAAATGTTAACTATTCACGAAGCGAATGATTTTTTCTTTTCTTCCTTTTTTTGGCGATAGAATTCATAAATATGATACTGATGGATAAGTCTTTTTCTTCAAAAATTATATTATGCAGTACGTTTTTACGTTAACGTTTCAGTTGACTATCCTTCTAGTTCTCTCAACATATTTTCAATAGTTTATGACAAATACCTATGATATAATCCACTTGTCCACCAAGAAAAGTTCCAGCTACTCCTGCAACATGGGCACCGAGTGAGTGACCAGTTAGAGATATCTTTTCCAGACGCAGATCATTATTTTCTACCATCTGTCGAATTAGGTCTCCCAAAATCTTTCCAACTGGTTCGACAGCTCTGAAAGCTGTAGTATAGAACCTCAATGAATATTTACTCCAGTCTACAATGAATACATTACAGTCAATTTTCTTCAAAAGGGCGTCTTTAATGCTCTGGCAACTCTCAGAAGAATAGTTATTTAGGTAACCATGAACTACGAAATGAGTTTGTTTGGTTGAATCAAATGTACTTTCATGAATAGCTGTGGAGTCGGATAAATTGACTTTGATGCCTTTCGAGAGATTTTGGGAGTTATAAAAGTAAATCTTGATATCTGTATCTTTGATAATCAACTCCAACAATTGAGCCTCTCCGTCTGCTTCCAATGGTTGGGGTATAGCTGCAAAGAAAGAAATCAGAAAAAAATTACCTATATAATTGAAAGGTGAGAGTTTTAAAATAAAATGAAAATAAAATACAGACATTTATCTAACAGGAAGTCCTTCAAAATTTTTTTGGAAATATTTATATTATTACAGTCACTAACGTGTATTGGAAGAGTATTAAATAATCTCAAACCTAAACAGCTTGGCGCACAAGACGTTAATTTTTTTGCAAATGGTATGACATAGTTTTTAGTTTGTCTTGTGTTAAAAGAGTGATATTCATCAACACAGATGAATTCATTTCTGTTTTTAAAAATATACAGGTACATTTCATAAACATACAATGACACAACAGTTAAAATTTTATAATTTTCAAAGTATTCGCGGCAAGATGTCCTTTTTGGAAGACCAATAATACATCTCAGTACTCTTTTTTGCGATTTCGATATTTCCGGAGTGGAAGTGGAATTTCCCCATTCACAAGTACCATATCGCAGCCTTGAGTCGACCTGAGCAAAAAATAAATTTATCTTCTGACCTAGATTCAAAATCGATTTCAGATTATGAAACAAATATGTTATGGAGTTCAACTTATAGACAATTCCAGAGCAATGGAGTTTGCAATCGAGATTGCAAACTTCTCGAGAAACGAGACCAACTTTTCATAAAAATGCATTTAAAGCTGTAACCGTCGAAAAACCACTTCGGAATCCATGCTGATTTGGAGAAATTATCATAACTCAGAAAACAGTATTCAAAAATTTTACCCATACTAGGGGGAATGGTGACTGGTATACAGTTTTTCATAAATGTTGGATCTTCCTTTTTTAATGACATAACTACCTTTCCCACCTTAAGACGATGTGGAAAGCAGCCTGACTCAAATTATAAATTTACTAGATGGGTTATAGGTTGTAAAATAGAAATTAAAACTTTCTTTATTATGAAAGGTGGAATATCATCAAAACCTAATGATTTTTTATGTTTCAATTTATTATTGATAAGCATCAGACGCTCGTATTCGGTAAAAGGCGATTAAAACAAAGTATCCCTATTGTTAATTATTCGGCCATTCAGCCCATCGTTGACCTTTGGAATTTGCGATAAAATTTCTCTAGGTGTCTCTGCAAAAAAAGTGCAAAATAACTTAACCATGTTGTCAGGTTGATTTATCAAAATAATGTTATTGTCCTTAATTTTTATATTGTTGGTTTTCGATCTATTTTCATTGGACAATTCATTTATTACACTCCAGGCAGTTTGACTAGAGTTCGCTGATGAAGAAATTTTTCTTGATAATATTTTCTTTTTGTATCTCTTATCAACTTGAAGTGTTCTTTTTCTGCCTCGGAATATATTCTGAAGATTTGGGTGAGTGCTTTTCATTCTAAAGAGATTTTTTAAGTTATCAGAAGATACTTTTACTTCATGATTTACCCACCTTTTATCCAAAAGGTGCTTATTAATGTCACGTTTTCTTATAGGAAAATAGGTATTGAAGTGATATAAAAATATATCATAGAAAAAATCAAATGCTTTGTCCGAATTGAAAATGTCATAAATATTATTCCAGTTTTTCTGAGACAGAGGATTTTCGAAATTTTGTATTGAATTATTATCAAATGATCATTTAAAATACTCCAATCTATGGTTATAGTCTCCCATTGACATATTCAATTCAATTAATACCGTTTTATGATCTGACATGTTTTTATTTATGACGAAACAAATTCCATCATTTGGAAAATTCAAAAATATATTATCGATAGTACTGATCTGATAAACTAGTAGAACTAAAATTTTTTTCACTTTGCAATAACCATGGTGAATATTTGAATAAAAGATAGACAAATTGGTTTTATTATATGAATGTTGAAGGAAAGAGAAATGAAACTTTCCATGTTTTTCACCACTTTAATTTGTAACTAACGTTTCTTCAGTTTTGTCCTATACAAAATGCACTAACGATAGTTACAAATAAGAGTTGTAAAAAACATAGAAGTTTCATTTATCTTTTTTTCATTATGATTTCCCACCACGTAGTAACGGTTACATCCATCAATTTATTTATATGAATATTGTTTATCTCTAATTTCATAAATACAAATATAGCGATGCCTGATTGTTATGCCAACAGATTTGAAAGAATGACAAGGAAATTGTTCTGTAATGCTTTTTCACCAAAAAAAATCTTTTTACTACGCATTTTTTGTGATATACCATTTTTGAGTTCATGAAATTAGAGTTTCTCTGAATTTTTAACAAAAAAAAATCTGTTTTTCCGTTAATCAGCTGTCGCCCCCATATGAACGACAACTCTCAGAAGTTGAGAAACTTGTGCGAGCTAAGGACCAACGAGGTCTTACCTTTCAACGTGTGATTTCTAACACGGTTGCAGAATCATCCCAGCTTCAACCAGATGAATTCTCTCGAGAAAAATATCTGTCGAGGCAGGAATCGAACCCACGGACTTCCGATCGTGAGTCGGGCGCACTACCACCGCGGCCAATTCCACAACAATCAAATATTGAAAATCAAAAAATTGGATGCATATGATTTTCAATAGTTTCCATAAATCACTCAGAAAACAATTTTTTTAGCAAAAGTATGTTCTCAGAAGAAATGTTCACTCATCTTTCGGAAGTGATTTATCAGGACATTGGTGAGTTGAAGAAATGAAAAAACGTGTGTGTTTCGGAATGTACATATATATAGTAGCTATCATAAGACAATTGTTCCTTTTGTAGGAATAAATAATTATACTAATAATGCACCGACACAGATAAATATCATCATTTTTGAGTTACTTTTTACATAATAAAAAACTATTACGTGCTTGCTGGGTACATTTTTATAGTAATCATAAACACTATGTATATGCGAGAGAGAGAGAGAGAGAGAGAGAGAGAGAGAGAGAAAGTTAAATTTCATTCACCGACTTATTTCAGCGTTGAAAACAGTTTTCCAGACGTAGTTACACGATTTCAAAGAATAACAGGTTCCAAATTTCTTCATATGTTCTCTAAAATATAATCGAATGTTGTAAACTCATTCTTATATAGTTGTAAAATTTTTTGTATGGCACCTTAGCTCGTAGTAAAGGATAGAAAAATCGCCAAAATTACTTCTTTGATCATTTATTGAATGAACACCATATCTAAGTACTTAATAATTACTTAATTTTCATTAGGAGATATGGCTCCAATAGTTTAACTTGTAACGGTGACAAGCAATATTGCTCACAACACTACTTCAGCACGACTGACCGACCATGCCCACATGAGATATTTCTGTGTCGCAATAGAGTGAGGAGAAAGGGCAGCCAGACATACTGATGCGTTACGTTACGAAGCGGTTTACCCCCCCCCCCCCCATAAAAAGTTGTCACTTCAATCATCCAAAATAACGTTATTTAAAAGAGCCAAACAAACAAACAAACAGGGCAAGCTGAATAAAACTGTTTAAAAAATATAAAGTTGTACAGCTACCTACGTGTAGAAAATCATCATTTCAAAAATATAAAAAGGACAATTACTCTGATTTCTTATAAAATAGCTTATAAATATTATTGATCATTATTTGTTATTCCAGTTTTGCGATTAGTACATTATTCGTACGTTTCAAATATTTAATAATATGTATTGCATCACAAGCGTATTTTTTATGAGATAAGCTGCGAGCTGATAAAAAAAAGTAGTTTTTAATTTATAAAATTCCATAAATTCAATAGAAATTTAACAAATACTCAATGATTGGAGTTATGATAATGATATTATATATCAGTAACTCTTGAATCCATAATGAAAACCAACATTTGAAAAATCTATAAAACTACTCACCAAGTTATATATTTTATAATATGTGGCTTTTATTATTTGAATTCTGTAATGATTTTAATTGATGTAGTTACACGATTCAATATATCAAAGCAGTGACTGAGTAAATTTTTTCCCCATCATCTAAAAGGCAAATTTTCGCATTTGGCAGATATAAAGGTCTGTAATGTAGTTTGTTTGGAGTTGGCATGGCAGATGACGTCAGAGGGTTATTCACAGAGCAAGGTTGTGTATATTGTAAATATATGAAGTAACTAATAGTGACGTGAGTTTGAAGAGATGTGTGTAATATATTTAGATACATTTCTTTTTTTATGCATATTTATATGATGTTATTATATTTACCATACTCAGAATTTATATCACGCCTTGTTAGTACTTCCCAAAACATAACTGTGATTCAGGTAATTTGATATTCATGCAACATCGAGAATTTGGAACAATCGCCAAAAAAACATATAATGGATATTTTATGATGGTATTATCATTTTCGAAATAGAAATCAGACATTTCTTTTGCGTATACAGAAAATAATGTTTACCGGAATTCCGGTTGTACTGGTTACGCGTGTCAAAGTGCTTACATGATAACATTACTGAATCTTCCCTATCTATAACGTAACGTAACCCAGAATACGTTACTGAGGTTACGTTTCGGGCCATTTAGGCGCCTCATATTTGAACCATATTCTGTCACACATATGCGTAGCAAATATCGATGGTGTGTCAGCTCTGATCATTGAATTAACCTAACCCCGTTATAAAAATGGGGAAAAAATAAATGAAAATAGGTCAAAATTTATTTGTCGTGTTGCACTCAACTCAGCTCTCCCATCAAAACAAACAGGAAAAATCTTAATGTCATAATCTCTTGAAGATGTTTACTATATTACTGTTGTGGAAGAAGTTAATTTATTAGATTCATTCTATGCCATTTCTACCTATCAAGTCACATAGATACATACGAACTACACGGAAAATGATTTGATCTTCACAAAATTTATTTTCAAATATATCACATATTTCGCTATCACAGAGTAGCCTTTTCGTAGTGAATAACATACTGACTAATTCTTTACTCCAACTTATATATACCCCACGTATTCACCAGTCAGAACTACCTAGTCAGATACATACTCAATCATAATCACCTAGACCTAGATACTTTTATATACCTCAATTATGATTACCTAGAGCATATTATATTTATTCTACTTCTGTAATAGTATGTCTATGAAAACTAGAATAACATCGGTTTCCAAGAAAACAAGTTCAGTAATGATATTTTATTTAAATCTAGTTTGTCATTCAGTAAAATGCTTTAATTTTTAAGTTCAATAATTTCCATTGTTTTCAAATGATTCAGCTGAAGAACTTTATTTTATATGTGTGAAATTTCGAAATTTCCGTTGAAGATACATAGCTCATATGATGTTTCTGGATATGATTCCTTAATGTTCTGCTAGTTTGACCAATATATACGTTAGGGCAAATTCCACAATTCAATTCATGCACTCCTGATTTTTCGAATTTAGATGTTTTGTCTTTATTATTTTTAACTTACTTTCCCAACGTATTACCTGTTCTATATGCAATTTCAATATCTTGTTCATTAAAAAATGAAGCCACTTTTTCTGTTGTTTATCCAAATTATGTTAAAGCTCTACAATTTCAATTTTGATTATCTGACTCATCATTAGAAAAAACGTCACGAATCGCTTTTGAGTAGACTTTTTTAGAAAGTATTGTCTATTAAATCAGCTTTAAATCAGTTGCTTACTGCAGGTCGCCTAATAATATTGATTTTTCATTATTGGAATTAGTTATTGAAAGTTAATCAGAAAAACGAATATACACGGTTGAATTTGTGATAGGTTCTTGTGGTTTGGCACTTGTGAGGACCTGGCCTCAACATTCAAAATATATAACATTTTACAGACCGACAGTCTTTGAAATTTTGACTTTTTGACTTTCCTCTAGTATTTGTACCCAACCTTGAAATAATTTCAGATATTGGAGAATGTATGTCAAGAAAATATCTTCATCAGCTCAGTCCTAGTGAAACGCGTCTTGAATTAAATTCAAAGTGTGGAAATTGTGTAATTATTATCATTGATAGTGTTATTCATTTATTTTCATTAAGTAATGGGCCAGTGTATTTATAACTTAGTTCTAATTACATAGTAGTTCAGTGACTGAAATTAAAATCATTTTGTGGGTATTGTAATAAACAGATTATATCTACATAACTGTCAATTTGATCCATCGAAATTTCTTGAAAAATATTGGCAGCACGTCTCAATAATGAATGGTTTGAAGTAGATAATAATGTGAGAGATGTATTCATTGGAAAAACAAACATCAGTCAAGAGGATTCACGTCTGGACGATCACAAATTTCTGAAACCTGAATTCATTAAATTCATATGAATACTCAACTAACGTCCATTTTATCATAATTTAATTATGATAAAATGGACGTTAGTTGATTTGATGAAAAATAATTTCAAATGACCTATTGTCACCTTTCGTCGACCAATCAAAACCAATGAAAACTTGTTGAATAATGCAATGGGATATATACTCAGTACTCAAATTCGTATATAATTTTTTTATCGTAATTAATGAAAAGCTTACCTGAATTCACGATTAGAAGAAAAACTATCGCTACGAACTTCATTGGAACTACTCAATAATCGAAATTATTGATGTATTGTACTCTATATGCTTATCAATTCTAGTAGTTACGATGTTTATGAACAATTCATTTCAAAATAAGATTTGAATTGATGTTTACCACTCACCAAATTATAGGTTACCTTGATTCTCAAGTACCGATACCCTAAATAACTATCAGATTGATTTCAAAATCTAAGAAAAAGTTCTTGAAGAATATGGATGAAAAAGTATTACAAATTATTATGAATCATTCAATCACCGGTGTGTCGATAGATGCTAATTATATATCCATACAGCGTAAATACGATAAAGTATCACATATATTTGAAATAGGATGAAATTATTTTTAGGGAATATTTTTTTGGCTTTCTACTCCTACTTCTTTATATGCGAATTCATTGAAATAAGTTTCATACACAAACTGGAAAAAACCCTTTCAGAAGAATTACTTCAAAAGAACATAAAATTTTGCTCATCTCTTTCATAACATTACAATTTTACGTCACTAGAAGGGACAAATCTACTCATGTCACAATGGCTCCAATCTGGCAAGCACCTCCTAACCAAGTATTTATAACAATGAATATTTAGCACCTCACGCTTTTTTACAATAAAGTTTATTGCTTGTAAATAAATTCATACTGATTTCATACTTATTAAAAGTCATTAGTTACATGACGCCATATCGATGTAACTTAAAAACACGCTTTTAAAGAACATCGAACTAAAAAGTTGAAAATATGTTTTTTTGAAATATATAAGCTCAAAACAATAACGAACGAAAAATACCAGTATTATTGTGAAAAATTCTACGGGCGCTTGATATACAAAAAAATGGCACAAAGCGTCATTATGTGTGTGGCTATTTGATTAAAAAAAATCCCACGTTCATTCCTGTCAAATGTGTGACGACGTTTCCAAAGAATGTCAATAATTGGTTGCGGGTGAATTATTCACTTATTATAAAGCTCATTATTGCGATAAAAGTATAAATTTTGGGTTGTTGAGGGTTCCGAGTGAATTTTTTGTTAATTATATTTTTAAAATAGAGGCATGTCATACTTTAACACTTTGAAAAATATAGAAAATTTCCACCCTTGTTTTGAATTTTCTTGTTCATACGTATTGAAATTGTTCATTAGATCAAGAATATTTTATGCTCAAAATATACGAATAGAAATATCATAACTAATGAAAAAATATGAAAAAATAGAAAACTGACTATTCTATCATATTAATAATGTGATAGATAATATGTAGTCGTTTCTCATAGTTCATTTGTTTTGCAGCCACTAATGTGTCAGTAAAACTGAAGTTATTTGAATATTTCGCAAAGTGCTCTCTTAATTTCTGTTCATAATTGTCTCTGAATTGGCAATTATGTGCTCCATTGATGATCCAACATATGAGTTTTCAGATATCTACCGCTTTGTCCGATGTAGATCGTAAACGTTCGCGGATTTGAAGTGGAAAAATACTTTCACACACAGTGCTCTTTACAAATATGATCTCTACTTCATTTGATGAGAGTACCTTTGCAACTCTCTCGAAAAAAAATTCAATCGTGGTATTCTTTGATAAAATGAGTAACTTTTTTTGTTTTTATATTGTGATGTAGGTTTTGTGAAACTCAAATAATTCAGTTTATGTAGATAAACATATTTTGTGTAGGTTTTTTCATGTTTTGGTCATAATTTGGGAGGTATACAGCTAATAATACTCCACAATATATATGATACTGACTTTTTGTGGAATAGCATGATTGGATTGGTGATTAACAAATCTTTCTGGAAAGCTTGCATGGTTTGTAGAACCAGTCTGTGTTGATTTAGCCATTATCGGACGAATCAAATCATATTCAGTGAAGTGATTTTGTTTTCATTTTCACAATCTACTGTATGCAATTTTATTCTCGAATATCAATCAAAGAAAATATTTTTCATTTTGGCAAACTGTTCTTTTTCATCATTTTTGAACGATACGTCTCAAAAAAGGAGACTGACACAATGAATAAGATTATCATCCAAGATTGAAATTCGCAGTAGAGTGTATAATAGTTGACCATATTTATAGCTTACAAAGTGAAGCATTAGGTGTGTCACAATGCATTTATCAAAACAAAAATTTGTGAAACATAAAATACCTTCTACCCTAAAATCACAGAAAAACGCCATCACATCATAAGCAGAATCAGGGAAAACAACTGAAGGTTTTCAATTTATCGTATTTTCGAAAGGTACTCTCAACAGAGTAGTAAAGAACACTGTTAGTAGTAAAAACTGTGTTAGAAAATATTTATAAACCTCTGAAGAAGTTACCAAATCACGCGCGCGAAGCATCAGGAAGAAAATCCAAAAATTCAAAGCCTTCAAACACAAAAAATGTGACACCGAAAATCCAGCCGCGAAAGCCTAAACCATTTTGTCATTGCAAGAGATGAATATTACTGGAGTCTTATCCCAATACCAATCCCTCATTTTTAATATATCGACACGTATTTGGATCACCTAGTGATCATCTTCAAGAGGAATATTGAACTAAATATAATACAATGTTGCCTTATTCATACCATAGATGAGGACAACATTCTATGTATATTCAGTTCAAATCTTCCTCTTGAAGATAATCACTTAGTGATCGCAACACGTATCGAGGTGTTGAAAATAACTGTTTGATGTTGGGACAAAACTTCAGTAATATTCATTACAAAAGGTTCCAAACAGTACATCACAATTTCAAAAGGTGATAAACTTTGAAAACATAAAAATGCAATTAAAAAAACAAGCGTAGACGATTTGAGTAATATCCCCTAATATTGCTGTAGGAAAAAAAGTGTTATATTATCAGGTACGTATTTGACGAACATTAATTTGTATTCTGTCTATCTACTCTATGACATAACGAAATTATTTTTGTTCTAATATCTCAATCAAGAATATTTTTCCATTAATATCCAATTATATTCCTCCATCTCAGATCTTCCTTCCCGAAATATGAAATGTAGTGTATCATCGAATCAACTGGTATATGATTGACAATAGTTTTTTTCTTATAGGAGACAAAAAAATGAATATCTATACGTTCAAAAATAATTGTTGACAAAAAAAAACAATTTCTTCAATGTCTGGCTTGAAAATTCACGAAAATATGATAATTTCTGAAAATCAATCATTGATTTATTATATTCTGCAAATTAACGTGTTACATTCAAAATACCAGATATCATTTATCACTGGCACATAATACGGGGTAATTCAGTTGTCTACTAGTACTGAGTTTCAGTCCACTCATTTATTCAATTTCATTCCTTTTTTTACATCATACAAATACAGTACACAATTTCAGTATTAGGTGTTATACAGTTTTCATTTTCCCTTTAGCGTATGGCGTTTCCTTGTTTGTGTCCAAATAATAACTACCAGAAGCTCTGAAAAAAATAATATGATTGAAAATATATTCATCGTTCACCAGAGAGCGTTAATATAATATTCTACTTGCAAACATCTTCAAAGGCTTAAACCGCAACTATGGTTTTGAGAAAATTTGAAATTTCAAAACTATCTATCACTATCACTCGTACTTTTGTATTATTTTTGAATATTTGACATTACAAGAAACGCATCTGTAGAAGCAATGATAAAATAGTAGCAGCCATGGACATGACAGGAGTTTTTGATACCAATTCAAAACTCAACCTAATGACTCAGGTTTCTGACATTACTGAGGATACACTACAAAAACACACTTTTGTCTATTTTCCACTATATTTCTTTATTGTTGACCGGTTTCGGCTATTACACCATTTTCAAAACCAACTGATTACATTTAAATCTAAGTAATTCATACCTATGTTGCTTATTCTATCATTAATGATTTGATATACCTGATATACCTGATACCCGGTACCTGCGTTTCATATACCTGTAAAATCCATGAACATAACAAAGCTTTCAGTATAATGTAGGTTTTGGGATCTGGATTATAGGTTCAGGAGAGGACTATTATTTACATCAAGTTGTTCGTTGAGGACAATAGAATTGGGATTTTTCTTTGATCTGTTTATTTCCATAGATTCATCATTTTCCCTTTTTCGCATGTGTGTAGGATCTTTAAAGTATCTTTATCTATTTTATGTTTCTAATTTTGAAGATGTTCGTACATTAATGATTTTTTATCCGAAATGACATGTTCAAAACATTTAATATTGATGTATCCAATATCTCCGATATACTTTTGTTTTTCCTTAGTCCAACTATACTGGAAAGTCCTACAACTGATCTTACGAAATTCCTAAACAATTTAGAGACTAATCTAATTTTGAATAACTGTCTTTCCCATAAACATATTGTGTTCTGGTTTAGATATGTAGATGACATATTAGTAGGCTTCGATGGTTCAACTAGACAAATATCTCATTACTTGAAATTCCTCAATAGTCTACACGATAAGATCAAATTCACCGTAGAGATAGAAGAGAACAATGAGATAAATTTTTTAGATCTCATTATTCCGAAATGAATTTATAGCGACTCTATTAGACAATTTAATTTTAAAAAATGTGTACAGTCACCTTGTATCCAAATCAAATTCTCCCAAGTATGAAGATACACCTGGACAATTCCCGTCTTTGAAGTCGGCATAACTATTACATTTATAGGAATAGAAATTTCCACTGATCAGTGATTCGGAGAAAAATTCAAACGATCTGCCATGATTGCAAGCTCCCGAAAAGTCACTTTCACATCCTGGTTGAAACCTTCCTCCGTTTGGCCAATAGTCGGCGTCACCGAGAGCTACATCAAATCCAAAAACACCAGCACAGGTATGTATAACTTGGACAAATTTGGCATCACCTTTGTTCAGACGGTTATCTGTTCTGCTGATGGAGTACATCGGAAAAGCTGGATCCAAACCTGTTCAGAACAGTTTAAAAAAGCATTAACATACATTAATTCCCAAATTCGAAACACATCACTGATAAAATATAATCATTCAAATATCAATTTATTTTTGAAAAGAAAAGGAGATATTTTCATACTTTCGTGTATGCATTACATATCGTTATAAAGAGTTTCGTTTTTTTCTAAGGAAGTTTTTCACATTTTCTGTTCAATGATGGTAAAGTAGGAAGCCAAAATCTGTCCTAAAACTATTCTCTGATCAATTCAAATGAAATTTCTATGACTGAGATTGACTAATATAAATATGTAAACGTACTGTCAGCGTGACGAGAGCAGATTTGTTTTTCCGGTGATATAATGTTACTGATGAGGTAATAAGACATGTGTGGTGTACTTCAAAGTTTTTGGACTTGTCCAAGAACTACAACTAACGTCTGAGGACTTCCGCCCCGATTCACCCAGTAATAAACCTCAACTCTTCGGCTAGTAAGGACTGTGAGAGAACTGGGCTAACCATCCTGTGAAATAAAAACTCTGTTTCTAGATCAAAACCCATCTAGTGATTACCTACATTCAACCGAAGGCTTCAAAAGGATAAATGAACCGAGTAATGTATTCAAAGCACAAGCACGTAGAGTCTAATGCATGTTCTGTGCTATAGAATGCACACGGAATTCTATATATAGTATCTGAATCATCATATCTGGCACTCCGGAACCATACTAAATTCGCAACTTTGCTGACTCTATCAACACTTCTGCATTGAAGTAGTTATTCTGATTCAAGAGAACCTTGTAGAGTGACGTGTTTTCTACTCTAGAACCTCCGGTTCATACTGCCTTGATATGACATTTTGGTAGACATATAATGTTGTTATTACATTGACCTTTTCAAGAGCTTCCGAGATTACGTTCCGCTGCTGTTATTTCTGCTGTTTCTGCTGTTAGCTGTTTCCAGGAGGTAAAATAGCTGATCAATTGAATTTTCCCTATGAGTTGCAGGTGAGAGCTGTTTTGAGAGTGAGATTATTATCCTGCAGAATTTAATCGCTTACCCCAAAAAATAATTACTGCAGTTGCTACTACACTTGGTAGTAAATTTCGAATCGATTTCCAGAACAACATCAATTTTCACAATATCAGAAAAATCAATTAAAATATCAATTCGTTGTACTGATAGCTGAAAACAAACAGTTTTCGTATTTTGATACATACCGGAACCAAAGACTGTGCTGTAACTAACTAAGTCAATTTTCTTATTCCCGGTTGCGATTTCTGTTCCTGATTCAGGCATAACTTCATTAGTTCATTTTATATTTTTCAGAAAGACCCTGGTGTCATGTGATTCAAGATCATATTCATTAAAACATTTAATATTGATGTATCCAATATCTCCGATATACTTTTGTTTTTCCTTAGTCCAACTATACTGGAAAGTCCTACAACTGATCTTACGAAAAAGCTATAGATTTTTCAGTAGTGTTGTTTCAATCGACGACATTATGGTACGTGAATTTCATCTCTTCTCTCGAATCTTTCAACCGCAATCGTTATTCGAAAAAAGAATTTGAAGAGTTTCGTCAACATTTTTTTTTAAATTTTATCCATGGAGGTAGGGACAGCAGACTGGACGGTGGTAGTTGACATGTGGAACAATGCTGCCTTAAAATCGTTGACTCCATTTTTGAATAGAAGTTTTTTGCTGTTAATACGTTTTTTTTTCTCAATAGCTCATTATCGAGTTGCGTATATGTTTTTAAATTCTCTAATCACTCTTGATAAGATGATAAGAATGTGAATGCTCAATATTTCTAAAACTTTGCCGATAACTTTTTCAAGAATAACAAAATCGTCAGCTATCTAAAAGTTTCAAATTGACTCTGATGATCAGTCAACAAGTTTTTCCAGAAAACATCTGACGAAGTTGCCTTATGTTCAGTAGGGTTCATTAAATGGTCCTATCTTCTTGGTGAATTGGTCGAACAATTTTTTCAATTAAAAGATGAATTGACTTCGTTTTGGTCACGTTCCAGACAGTGAAGTGATCGAAAGGAACCCATATGGCCTTTTTTGATAACAAAGAATCAAATCGTTACTTTTTTCAGATCAAGTGAATTTGTGAGAGGTTTTATATGGTATTAACTAGTCAATTAAGTCAATTTATCAGACCTGGTATATTAGTTTTTGAATTAGCTGTTCAACAAATTGAACAGAGAAAAATGTTTTATGTATAATTTAATGTTCATAGAAAAGTTTTGAAATAGGTTCTAAATTGATTGTAGTTCATTGTAATAACAACACAATATCAATTTATTTTATATTCTTTTGAAGTATAGCAAAAAAACTACGATAACAAGACTTCAAATCATGAAATAAGAATTGTCCTCAAACTACCAACGATGGAGTTGATTGTAGCTGAAATAAGATGTTTGTAGTTACCATTAAACATATCGAAAATGAATGCTAACCAACATATATAACCTGAAATCTGAAGTAAAAACTAACGTATTTTAGAATGCTTCATTTAGAAGAAAGCTTCTACCCTCAACATCTAACCTGACTTCCGAATTCAAAAACGAACTCATGTTAGTATGTTGGAAATAATTCTTAATCCTGAACATCTAACATGAGTCTAAAGCAAATGAACTTCAAACGTTCAAGCCAGTCTCTATATACCTTCACAGAAAATTTCCTGCATATGCAATTGGCAATACAACTGAAAGAGTCGACCTTCAATTATGGAACGGGCACACTTGCAGACCGGTTTCGAGCCAGGGGAGTAGTTGTTTTCTGATAGGCGTCAGTCCATTAAACCTACTGTGTAGGTATATAGAGACTGGCTTGAACGTTTGAAGTTTATTTGCTTTAGATTGTTGACTGCCAGTCTTCAAGCATAGCCCACTGACTAATAAGAAAATCTAACATGAGTTCGTTTTTGAATTCTGAAGTCAGGTTAGATGATATATGTTGAGGGTAGATGCTTTTTTCCAAATTTACGAAAGCATTCTGAAATACATTAGTTTTTACTTCAGATTTTAGGTTACATATGTTGGTCTGGATGGGTTATGTTAGGTTAGTTTAGTTGAAAAATACTCGATTTTATTTAATTCATTTTTGATGTGTTTAATGGTAACTACAAACATCTAATTTCAGCTACAATCAACGCCACCGTTTGTAGTTTGAGGACAATTGTTATTTTATGATTTAAAGTCTCGTTATCGTGGCTTTTTTGCTATACTTCAAAAGAATATAAAATATAGTAATATTTTGTTGTTACTACAATAAACTACAATCCATTTAGAACCTATTTCAGAACTTTTTGGCACATTATTACTCGTCCTTCGTACTTAGAATAATATCAATAGTGCTTTCTCAGTAACCGATAAGACTATAAAAAGGTAGATTTTTTTCAAAGCTTATTCCAGCGTGACGGAGCTGTTTCAGGAGGGGCTTTTCTGCTAGTTTCTGTCTGAAAGATACTTCTTTGCATGATTTACACATCTATATATAGAGATACTTCTTTCAAAATTTATTGCTTCATTCCTTTCTTTGTAAGATTCCCACATTTTTTTTGTATCAAGATGGAGTAGGAAAATGCCAAAACCTATCTTTCCCAAACCAAAATATTTATTGAAGTTTCTTTTTTTGATATTAGTGACAAAGTCATGAATAGTCTTTATGTTACTGTTCATATTTTTTTCAATTGAAAGATCTTTCAGAGTGTTTAGATTTCATAATTTTGACTGAGAATACAACTTATCAAAATTATCTCAATACCAGTATTTTCGTTATCTCGCAGTTGATCGATCTAATGAAATAATGGTGATAATATCTCTGCAAAACAACATTTTCATTATTCTATTGTCAACTTATCAAAAAATATATCAAAGAGGGAGTGACGTAAAAAATGAAATTATAAATTACTCCCATTGATAGAAGATACTTTCGATCATATCTATTGAATTTTTTGTAATTAGAATACTAGCTTCCATCATAAGAGTGAACGTTGATGAATTTTTTGTATGTGATATATGAAAATTTACAAAGTGTCACCAATAGTTATAAGAAGTGAAACGAATGATCAACGATTATACTTCAATTGTCTTTCTGATAGTTTCAACTAAAACAATTAAAAAATGATTCAGATATTGGTCGATCAGTTATTTAAATGACCTGAAAATTTTTATGCAGTGAGCAATGTACTTTTCGAAATGTCTGACGTACAATAAATCCCAATCAATCAACGCTCTCAAACACCAGGACCGCAACTCCAGAGTGACGAACTCTACTCGACGCACCAAACAAGTTGGCAACAACTCGGTTAGCGAAACACGCATCGAGAGACAACTATTTTGTTCCGGTGGGAGAAAGGTGTATATACAACAGAGGAATATATAGTTCATTCAAGAAGATACTTCCATGGATAAAAAAATTGAAAACCTGTACTGGTTTAACCGAAAACGAACCCGTCAAAAATAGAATTCTGTAATCCTAATCAATCACTTGGGTTTATTTGAATCACTTCATCGGTAATAGTATCGGCTTCAGTGAACCTTTTTTTTTAATATTAAATTTCTTACCCCGCAAACCACAAATGGCATCTTGTACAAAGAATTCGTTGTTAGTCAGTTCAAAATGTGAATACAACTTCGAAAAATTGCAATTGATCATAATGAAATGTTGAATATCTTTATTTTCTGGAGTGTATTGTATTTATCATTCAATATTTGAAAATTTTTTCATTTTCATTTCAATGAAGATAGATATACCCCTTTGAATAAACATTCGATATTGATTGGGGTTATAACTAACAACACTATAATTCACTAGAAAATAGTATCGGTCAACATTGTCGATCGCAACTGGAAAATGTTTTCTCGCATGATTCCTAATAATCCTTTGTGAAACAAATGACCCTCGTATGCTCCTCAGAATAACAGCGGGTAATCCATTACAATTTTCAAGACATGTATTTCTCGAAAATGTCTATCACCCATTCCATGATTTTCAATGTCTTGATTTATCAACCAATTGGATATGTCGTTGAACGATTTGTTTTTCCAGTAAATATAGTTTTTTATCTTCCCTAACTATATCTGATAGGAATTTTTCAGACCTCTACATTCATATATAACAATGAGTTTATTTGATGATAGTAGAGTTGAGTATTAGTGGAGTTTTATCCCAACACCAAAAAATCAGTTTCAATCACCAATCTTGATCATCTTCAAGAGGAAGATTCAACTCTTATCCATCAAAAACGTTCCTGTATTTTCTGAATTCCAATTTAGTTTTCCAACATACTACATTCGTTTTTTACTTTGTCTTTATAGATATTGTAACACCATTAAATGAATTGCTTCTTTGATGATACTAGTGAATGCTAAAAGTACTCCATTATCACCAGTTATCACTATTTCGAATAGTAATCTCTATCACTATATAGACAACTGCAGAATAAAAGCAAAATTGAAAAAAAATAAAATTCGTTGGCAGAGAAAGGTTGATATGAACGGTAATGATATTATTATTCAAAATTTTGTGGTTTTGCCTATTTCATAACTTACCAATAATTGTCTTCAGTTCACCACCAAGAACTTTTCCAGCAACTCCTACAAGATGAGCACCCAGTGAATGACCAACCATGGATGTCTTGTTCAAATCTAAGCCACTACTAGCAGCGAAGGACACAATGTCTTTTCCTAGCAAATTTCCAATTATTGATACTTGTTGCTGGGCTGGACCGTATTCCAAGGAGGCGATTTCACTCCAGTCCACAACGAAAACATTGACGTCTGCTGTTTTCAAGAAAGCATCTCGCACTTCCACACAAGCTGGAGATTGGTAAGAGTTTACCCAACCGTGTGCAAAGAAAACAGATTCCTTGTTAACATCGAAAGAGGTTTCAGAAATTGAAGTGCTGTTCGAAAGATCAACCTCGAATCCATTGACGTCAGTTCGAGTGTATAGAAATATTCTTACATGTGATGTGCTGAGTTGTAATCTGTAACTATTTTCTTGAGATACTAGAAAATGAAATTCTTTGATTAGTAGTGGATTATAGGCTGTACTGTACTGTAAGTATTCAACAACATAGGATATCGATATCGAAAAGATTTTTTCGTCATTAATGAGATAATTCTTCATTTTTCAAATATCTTTGGGGTATACAGTAAAACTACAGCTTTGGAATCATAACAGGTATTTTTGAAATATTTTTTCCCAATTTCAAAGTCTAAAATTTGTAGGTAATCATATATGACTTCAATATGACTGGAAAAAATCTTGACAAAATACCATTTACACACCAGAACAACAAGAGAATTAACGATTCAGTGTGATGATGTTGAACTAGATCCTTCCTATAACAAGAGCATGCATATCACTGATAAAATTAGCATTAGCAACAAAGAGATTATTTTCTCTCGATGAAAAAAGCACTAGTTCTGGTGAGAAAGATTCCCTTTCGATTGTACCTATCAAGTAAGACTCTCTACAGTCATGTGAGTTATTAATGTCTCAGTCTTCGTCTGTAGGTTTTATATTTACAGTTCATCTCAAAGAATGAAAAAGGAAAATACAAATCGCAAATAACATTTTTGTATTTAAAAACTCATTAAGAGTATGAAAACATCTTTCTAACAGAAATGATTTAATTTTTTTTCAAACAACGAAATGCTGCATATTGACTTCGATTTATTTGGTGAACAGTTGTAAATTCTAGGTCCTATACGTTTGGTGCACTTTGAGTTATTTTATACTCTGCTCTAACGTGTATCTTTGCTTCTGCTGAGTATTTTTATCATGAATATCGCTATTGAGAATGAAGTCATTCCTGTTACTGAAAACATAACCTGACAACTCATAAATATATAATCCAACCAGAGTTAAAATTTCGCGTGTAACGAAAATGTTTCTGTATGAATACTGTCGAGGACCGTTGAACAAACAGCGTAGGATAGCTTTTTGTTGGATAAAGAGATAGGTTATACTCAATTTTGAAACAAGTTGATAACAGAGCTCATTCCAAGAAAGATTCTAATCCATTTGAAGGCCTAGGAATTCAACAGCATCATGGGTGTTTCTCAAAGTACAGTGTTTTTTTCACATTGAAAAACACGTCGTGACTATTGAAATACATTGAAATTTTATCCAGAGTATATTCACTTTTCCGTGTCAATTCATTCGTCGCTTTGGCAGATATCAACAAAATAATATCATCTGCATAGGCAGTTACTGCAGAATATGGTATTTTTGTGTCTATATTATTGATATATAATAAGAATAATAGTGGCCCAAGTATAGATCCCTGGGGTACTCCCAACTGAACCGACCTCATTTCTGATGTTGAACACGAATAGACGTCACATTTGTTAAATTTGAGAGAGACACACTGCATTCTGTTGCTGAGAAAAGATAAAACTCATGAATGTAAATTTCCTCTCATTCCATAAAGATCCAGAATATCTAATAGCTTGGTTACATAGAACTATAGCGGAACACTCGCCTGAGTCAATAAATTCAATCAAGTGATCGTAGAAAGACAGTAGGTCACTTTGAGTTGATTTGCCACAGCGGAAACCATGCTGTATATGTTGGAGGAATAGTATCTGGTCTAAAATTTTCTAATGTTGATAATTTTTCATTTTCTTGAATAGGAGTTACTTTACCCACCTCAATGGTGGGAAGATGCCGTTTGAAAATGATAGATTCACCAAAAAGGTTAACGGTTCTATGATGGTATTTGATATTTTTTCACGAAGAAGCCAGGTACGTCGTTGATTTCCGAAGACCTCTTGTTCCTCATTTTACGAGTGACGAAATCGAACAGTTCGCTTTCCATGAATTGTTTGCAACCATATTCATTATTCACTACTTTTAAGGCCAATTACATATGAGCAATTTATCATTTCACAGTTGTAATGCAATTATCTATGATGGTGAATAATGAGAATTTACTAAATCAAAAATTTATTCTTAAACGTCAAACTTGATCATTGAACTGACAGTTTGTTTCGAAATATATAGTTCTGGAAGTGAAAATGTGTGAACACCACTAGGAATTAGTAATGTGGCAACATAGTTAATTTTCATCTACTAAATGTGAGCAATCAGAAACTCAGAGAGCTTTATGTCACACTAATCTGTAAGTTTTATGGAATAGTTAGGTAAACACCAAACCTAAGTGTCACTAGCTAGTTATATGTACAAGTGACACCTACGGCAGTTTCTTATTTTTCCAAGTTCTCAATTTGAAATTGAATGATATAATTTTTCACTCATATAGTCAATCAGTCAATGGGCATACTTGAATACTGGCTATAAATATAATCATCTAAAAGAACAATTCGTTCAGGCCAGTCTCAACTCCCTACACTGTAGGTTGATGGACCTATCAGAAAACAACTTCTCCCCTGACGTTGGATATCCGACAGATATCAGTGCAGGATTCTTCACTGAAGTTATTCCTGCATATGCTGTTGGCGATACTACTGCCGCAATTGATTTTCAATTATCTTGCAGCCCGAAACCGTACCACTTTCGTAACAGTAGCTTTCAAACCCTGAAATTAACTGTGGAGTAAATCGGACATTAGTCAGCCATTAATAAAATTATTTGTTCATTTAAAATATCACATAACTGATTTGAACTACTTGAGATACATAACCTAATTGATCGATAACAAAAATAATGCTTCGAATGATTTTGAAGAACTTTCAATAACCAGTATATTTCGCCGAAGTGTATGAACAGCAACAAGAATACTTTTTTGGCTCTTTCTCTCTTCATCTCGTTATATAGATTGATTACCGTTGGACTGTACATTGAACGTTTCTGGTGAGCCAGACACCGGATCACTTTCAGAATCGAAATTTTCTTGTACCTGTCTGTTACCGTTTTCGAAATATGAATCGATTTCAATTGTTTTCTTCTGAAATCATGAGGACTAAACATGCTGATATCTTCGAGTGAAGGAATACTATGATAACAAAATTTTGTTGGGAAAATGCTGCATATTGACTTCGATTTATTTGATAAACAGTTGTAAATTCTAGGTCCTATACGTTTTGGTGCATAGATGGTGCATAAATTGATTACCGGTGGATTGTACATTGAACGTTTCTGGTGAACCAGACACCGGATCACTTTCAGAATCGAAATTTTCTTGTACCTGTCTGTTACCGTTTTCGAAATATGAATCGATTTCAATTGTTTTCTTCGGAAATCATGAGGACTAAACATGCTGATATCTTCGAGTGAAGGAATACTATGATGATAAAATTTTGTTGGGAGTTGGGTGATACTTGGAGGCTTTCTACACTCCAGCGTGATCTCCGTTACTTTAATACAGGGTGGTGAAAAATACAGATTTTTCGTTTGCTTCAAAAAGTGACTGAATGTTGATTATTTCAAATGAAACACCCTTGGCATCATTATAAATTCATAAAGCTATTGAAATTTGCCTCTTTTCTATGCATATTATGCGTATACTTAATAAGTCAAGTTTCGGACTTATGAACATTTATTTGTGAAAATGTCCCTTCGGAATGGTATCACCATTGGGTATTTCATAATTTGAATTTGTAATGATACATCTGTTAAAAAAACTGTTTTTTCGTTAACCAGCTTTCGAACTCCTACCAACGACAACCCTTAGAAGTCAAAACTTGTGCGAGCTAAGAACTAACGAGGTCTTACCTTTCAACGGGTGATTCCTAACACGGGTGTACCATTTGAAATAATCAACTTTCAGTCAAGCGTACAAAAATTTTGTATTATTTACTACCATACATTGAAGTAACGAAGATTACGCTGAAGTGGGGGAAGCCTCCAAGTATCATCTAACTCCAAATGTCGGTACCAAAGTATTTCTTAACTCAAAGATATCAGCATTTTCAGAGGTAATGATTTCTGTACAACAAAATTGAAATTAATTCATATTTCGGAAACGACAAGATAAATATCTAGAAAAGTTGTCGAGTAATTGTTATAGATTCCAAAAATGATATATACAGGGTGTTCCATTTGAGAAATCAAAGTTTTTACTACCTTCTAATGGAAGTGGCAACACCGCAGGGTCGAAAATATTTTAGTTGGGTAGAAAATGTCCGAATGTGCTCTCCATTGAATTTCCATAGTGATTCGGTGTCTGATTCACCAGACACATCTAATGTACTATCCACCGTGAATCAGCCTGTATTTAATTTTTCATCCTTATCATAACTGAATTCTTCTAGTGATGTACAATCAAAAAATTATGATTTTCAATATTGAGAAGTGTTGGTAGGTTTATTGTTCCATTTCCAAATTTTTAGATGATTTTTGAATTATGGATGTTATAGTTGAATAATAAAATTAGCCATATTTGAAGTAACTATGCGACAATAAACAGAATTATGTCACTTATGACCAACTTCATAATCTTTTCCAACATTATGTGATGGAATCGGCAGATACTTGATGAAATATCTCTATGAGATTACTTCAATATACATTATAAAAATACCTAAAATTATTTATCTCAATATAAGTTTCTAGAATTCAGAAATGAAGTTGATACCATGTGAATTGTATACGTTTACATTTTTTCCTACCTGGAGTGGAAAACGCAGCTGTAACCACTGTTAAAATGAGTAAAAATTTCATTTTTCCGCGAAGAGTCCGTTTCATCACAAGTTCACAAAATTACTGACAAAACTGAATTTTTAGAACGTCAAATCACAAGATACAATTTCGCATAAACTCAGTAGATAAAGTGATAACGTAACTGAAACATTTTGAGGTGAATGATGTGAAACATTTTGAACATTAATCTAGATTATATTTGGTGATGTTTCAGAAGGGGTTGTTACATATTTTCAAATTGAAATAGGTTGGAGTTTCAATTGAATATCTTTCTTGTTGTTACGAATTAAAAAAAATCACGTGGAAAGTCGAAGATAATGCACATTTTTGAAAACAAAATTTAAGCAAATTGATTTACTTCATACCTACAGTCCTGTTTCGACTAGCCCATAAAGAGCAAATTATCTTTCATTCAGAAAACAAATGTTATTCAACGAAGAATTTCAATTCATTCATTAAGGAACTGGATATATTTTATGAAGAACAGTTTTTTGGGGTTACAAAACATCATCCGTGAGTGACAGTTCGATAACCCCTTACATCAGCAGGATATTGTTCGATGACCCGAAGACGACATCAATTATTTTGCTGATATCTGTGAAGTCGGCAATAATTTATATATAAATAGGTGCAATTGATTTGTAATAGCCAGTACTTATATTTCATAGTTATTAGTTGTTACTTTGTTCAAATAAAAAACCCTTTTGTGTGAACGAGAAATATAATTGGCGCAGTCAGTAGGATAGTGGAAGAGTCCTTAGAAGATCCTCGTCGTTCTCAAACGTTTATCCACTATTCTCCCGAACCAAGTTCCACCGAGAAGCAAGTACTCCAGGAAGAATTCCGGCCGTAGACAAGAATACCTCTTCACTATCGTCCGTCAAGGAATATCTACATAGAAATAAGTTTTTGGTGACAGAATATGCAACGAGCCATCATCGCCATCCTGTAAGCACAAATGAACTCAACTTCATCAATTGCAAATACTATTTTACATCCCCCTACCTTAGTTTTACCAAATTCACCTTCAAATGCCAATTCTCGCCCATCCATTATTCCTCAAACAATTGACCAACCTTTAAATCCCATCAACATGGCAAAACAATTCGACCTGAAGAATTTTTGGATTGTATCCCAATACGATGGAAGCCCAAATGAATTATACCAGTTCATCAATGTATCAACAATGATTCTGAATGAATATTGGAATACTGAAAACCCTGGTTGTTTTCAGAACCATATATTGATACAAGGACTACTCAACAAGCTACGAGGCAGAGCCAAAGACGTCATCTCAGTTTATGGATGTAGTGAGTGGAACAGCATCAAAGGAACTCTAATCCAAAACTTCGCCGACCAACGGAATGAAAATTCCTTAACAAGAGATTTGGTAAACCTGCGACAAGACCAGAACGAAACACCACAACGTTTTTACGAAAAAGTCATGGGACTTTCGAACACAATATCAAACTATATCGAATAACACACCGCCGATGATACGATAAAAATCAACAAGAAAAGCTTTCTCCAACAACAAGCTCTAACAACATTCCTAGCCGGACTACGAGAGCCCATGGGATCCACCATAAGAGCAATGAAACCAATAGACTTGGCTACGGCAATGCAGTACATCCAAGAAGAAAACAAGTCTCCAAGAAACCACTCCAGACCCAACAAAGAACTGCATATCACCAATATGCCCAACAATCAATACCACAGCGGATGTACCAACCCATGCAACACTTTCAACGCACGGACAAGAACCAACACCAATGAGCTTCAGTACCAGGAATACTTATGGAGCACCAACGAGGAGCATGAGAACCCAACCTCAGGCAAGACCAAATTTCAATGGTCATGTTGCTCAATGTTCAACATTGCAAACCCCTATTACATTGAAGAAACCTGCTCTTATCCCAATCAAGAACATACTGAAGAATTCCAGGTTCAAGAAGACCAACAGGAACCAGATGTAAATTTTCCATTGGATCCAGGACAAAACCAAGAAATATAGTGGAACTGCATACATTCGACAATAAGAGAGAACTTCCTTATATAACCATTGCAAATCCTCCCCTCAAACTTCTCATTGACACCGGATCAACAAAATCCTTCCTCAATCCTGAATTAGCTTTCCAATATTACAAAGATTGCATCAAAAAAAATCCCTTTGTCGTCACTTCCATTTTCCAAAATTATTCTCAGGATTACAGTGCAGAAATTCCCATATTTCCTGAGTTTAACTCAAATGGCATTCTGAAACTCTACCTCTTCAAATTCCACAAAACTTTTGATGGCAGCAGCCCAATAAATCTTCAAGAGCATCATATCTATTCTGCTGACATAATCCCATCAGGAAACAGAGACCCAATCAACAACATGGATGATCTAATCAGAACAGACCACCTGAATCCAAAAGAGGAGATGCATATCAGAAAATTATGCGGAAGATATGCTGATATTTTTCACCATCCAGATTCCTCACTCACATTCACCGGACAGGTCAAACACCATATAAAAATCAGAGACGAAATCCCAGTCTACACAAAATCATACCGATATCCGTATGTACACAAGGAAGAAGTCAAGAAGCAAATAACTTCGTTATTGGACCAAGGAATCATCAGACCTAGCCAATCTCCCTGGTTCTCACCAATTTGGGTCAATCCAAAAAAACTGGACGCCTCTGGAAAAGCAAAATGGCGTATCGTTGTGGATTTCCGCAAAGTCAACGAGAAGACAATAGACGACCGCTACGCTATTCCGAACATTTCTGACATCCCCGACAAACTGGGAAGGTGTCAATATTTCACTACCCTGGATTTGGCAGCGAATTCCACCAAATAGAGAAGGCAGAGGAGGACATCCTTAAGACCCCATTCAACGTCGAAAACAAACACTACGAGTACCTGCGTATGCCGTTTGGACTGAAAAATACTCCAGCGACCTTTCAAATGGTTATGGACAATGTCCTAAAGGGTCTACAAGGGACTATCTGCTTGGTTCATATGGATGACATAATCATCTTCTCTGCATCTCTGCAGGAGCATATGGTCAACCTTACAAAAGTTTTCCAACGTCTACGAGAAACTGGTTTTGAAATACAAGTAGACAA